TGGTTGCTAAGCTGAAGGGCACATTTACGAAATTGAGTTGCGTTTAATTGCAGCCCAAAATAGCTGCCATTAGCACAGTCAAACAAAAGCACGTTAAAACAAACACTGGTACAGTTGGTTATAATAATAATTGTTTTTATTAAACCAGTCGTGTTCTCGTGATAAATGTGAGTCACTACAACATCACCCATTGTCTTATCTATAAATAATATATCCCTACACATTTTTGACCACTTCGGTAAACATTTATCCGCCTTTAAAATTCTGTAAATGCAGATACATTGTTCCAAAATCCACAACTTATGCTATCATCAAGGTACATTGCCACTGGGTTGCTGCCAAAACCCTACGCCATATAGGCGAGTTGTTGTTACTGTTATAATATTACTGTCACACCCGATTTTGTAAGCAGCGTTCCCCAAAAGAGCGCGCAGTTATCGGAATAACTTTTGGTTGGGATGCATACGTTTTCATAGTTGGGAACACTTGGTCTACAATATGCAAAGTATGGAGCACAATGTTGACGGTGTCATAAAACATTGTTGTCGAGAATCAGTTTCAGCTTTTCTCTTCGAATCGTATGTTGGAAACGTTAGGTATTCACTACATTGCGAATTCGTCGGGTCTAAACTGGCTGCATGGCGATGTTGAATAAGTTTGCTTTTAATTTGCTGAATCAGATCTTATCACAAGATGTGACCGGATGGACAGTAAGTTATGATTTCTCATTAGAAATCATTGCGTGCAGGTATTCAAATTTTTCCAATACTAGGCCAAATAATTCAGTTATAGCAAATGGTAAATCTAGGGTCATCACACAAACCGTAGACGGAGGCAGGATTGAGTTTCAGCCCTTCAGATTTCCTCATAGATCAGTTTCCCTCCAGTACCATAGGTATATTTAAATGCTCTGTAGTTAGCTACGAGTGTACGCGGAACACCATGACAGATATACTTTGCCATTATACCTGAAAACCAACGCAATATTATGTGGTCATTACTCCCGTTTTTTACACACATTTTCTTAGACAGGATGACAGGGTCGTAAGTTGACAGCTGTTTATAAAATTTCATGTGACAAAATCGTCGGAGATAATTTATGATTATCCCAGAAGTCAACAAAAGGCTGCTTAACTTATACGTTGACGCCCGAACTGGCAGTCAATGGCACCTTACAAATTATACCGAACAATTCGTAGTTGGTTAACATCTCAGTCTTCATTATTATACCTCATGTGTTCCTGTTTCCAGAGTGTTACCTGTCCGAAAAAGAAAATAGCACAAGCATTGAAGGTTGTGAGTCAGACTTTCCTGCACGACGCAATAAGTAAAGTATATAAGCAGGGATGGAGACCCAAAGAAAAATTGAGCTTAAAGCAGTTTAGTTTTATTATTGGATATTTGTATCTGTTTTTATCAGTTGCTGATAAATGTTAAGTTTTGAAAATATTATTCACCATCTATTTCATTTCCAGCTGGCTTCGCAAGTGCTCGCTGTAAGCAACATTTTTACACTAGATGCCGTACATAATCTACACTATATTTATACTGTGGTAATGTCGATTCCCAGGTCCCATGACTGCTATAAAATAAGACATTTGTTTGATATTACATTTATTATATAAACGACGTAAAAATTTTCCTCTTGTAGAACTTTTAGCGAGAGTTTAACTTCTATGCTACAAACTTACCAACAACTCAATCCCGACTCAGACGAATATAAAGACGTGAATGTGTAATGGCATTGGACCATAACCACACAATCCTCAAAGCTGAACACGAGACAACTCGGAAAATAGATACTCAATATTTAACGCGGAGAGATACCTAACGATGGAGAAGGCAGGAAGAATGTATTGAATTAATTGGAGTTGATCGAATGGCATGACTCGACCATGCAGGCGTGGTCCCTCTGAACGTTACCTTATATCTTTTATTCATCATAAATATATTGTTCTATTCCCAGCCTAAGCTTGTTCTACATCATGTTTTGGTGATTGATACGATACAGTGAGTTGGTGTAGTCGATGATGTGACTTCCACGTAAGATCATATAGATTAAGAAGTTATATCACGACAAATCTACAATTTTAGGATTAGGTCTATTATTAGAGCAGCACTTATATCATAATAGACCACAAATCTACACATAGTAAGTTCTGTGGGCCTCTCAATACTTTCTTGAAAACGGAAAAGTTTTGGAGTTTTACCAAAGAGCGTGGGTGGGCTTCCTTAAAGTTTTCGGAAACATTGTGGAAGGCACAAACACTTTCGGCATTCCCTCAGAATAACTTGAAGTCTTCTCGAAGATTCCTTATCCGGAAAGATTTTTGTAGCAGTACCCCAAGATTTTATAGTGTAGCTTCCCTAAAGTTGGGAGGCTGGAAATCACCATAATTCGTCTGCTCTACTAAAAACCGTTGAGCACTGTTTAAGGTTTACGTCTAAATGTTTTCCTGCTTCATTGTATTTTTCGGTATTATTATGTCAATGTACAAATATGGAACTTCTTGTGCCTGGAACCAACTTGAGACAAACCTTTTTGCATGCATTTTTCGAGGTTACATATGATACCAATAACCCCAAATAATTGCATTATAAAAACTATGGACTTCTCAAACAGTTATATAGCATGAGCACTTAGCAGCAACACCATTCCTACACGTGAATTCCGAGTCCAAATCTGCTTTACATTTCTAGTCACAACGTTCTCATTCTTGAAACGGATTGTAAGAACTGTACTTATTGTACACTTCCAGCGAATAAGCCTTATTTTCTACTCATCAGTATGTCTTCTCTGTCATTTATTTTATTTGTTTAACAACCCTGCTTGAGAAAGATCGTATCTGCAAACCAACTTTACGGTTTATTGATCATGAATGTAAAAAGGCGTGCACCTGCCCGGTCAGAAATGTGTTATTATTATTATTATGAAAAACACGCGATTTGTTATGGGCCGTCAATGGAAAATTATTACGCTCTTAAACGTGACTAGCCGCTTGACTGTGGTCGGCTCGGAGTCGTTCAGGATGGTAAACAAATCCCTTTACAGAGAGCGAATGCTTTCAATGTCAGAAATGTCCTGGTGAATGTCTGAACAGTTGGTTCCGGTTCAACATTTTTGAATGACTACGTAATGTTATGTTTTTAGAGCCATAAACAAAGTTCAGATACTGACGATGAGATTCACCGTCCTGACCTGGGATTAAGCAGTCATACCGTACGCGAGGACGTGGTTGAGACCACTATATACGTTACCATTGAATCGCTGAAGATTTTGTGTAATATTCTTTTAATCGCAAGGCCCGCATAAGCATTAATAGAGCCCGAGGGGATTAATGAGTCTCATCTTAGGCATCGTGTGGTCACAGAATAATATGCATATTATCACCAAGCCATCCGAACGGTTCGTCTGTAAGGTTATGATAATAGCGTTGACCCTAAAAAGCCTATTCGACCGAAGACTGCTATTGTCTTTTTCCAAATCTTACGTTCTATTTTTTCTGGTTGGCGAACACAAGCCAGGTTACAAAAGGTGATTGTTACAGACTCCAGGTCATATATTTGATTGAGTTTTGTGGTAAATCCAACTGCCGACAGGCTTACACAAGTATTTTTAAAAAAAGAGTAGCTTGCTGCTTTAATGCATTTGTGCCAAAGATGTCTACACAGTGTCTATTCCCTTTAGTCCGTTCTGGAATCCGAACACTTATACGGGACCAAGCTTTTAGCGTTCATAATTTGACAACCTATTTTGCATCTGATTATCCCATACAATCAGTGGGGAATTTCTCTTGTTTGACTAACTTTAAGGATTTTTTATCAATATAGATTCTTCGTTACCTTTTACTTGAGGGTGACCCAAGAGGTAGGTGAATGAATTCCTAATAGTCGGACATGGCATGGAAAAACTGTACCTCACCAATGTGTTGTTGAGCAGCCCGTTAGCGACACTTCCTCAGATATTCGTCTTCCACTTTCTTACATTCCATTCTCTTACAGGCTCTAGTCCAAATACAGAGGATGTGTTTAGCAAGTCGTGTGCGACAATTTGTGGAAGATAAATCCGAGACAACAAACTTTACATCTATGGAGTATCGCCGAATACTGACCGGGTGTTGACTGTCATCGATTGGGAGCTAAACAAAAGACCAGTAGGCAATGCCCTACCGGGCTGTGAAAACTGGCATGCCTCGTGTAACAATTTGCTATTTCAGAACATATTAATATAATTGAAATGACGTTTTTGTTTGACAAATTGATCGAGCAGACATCCCTATGGCAGGAGATACTTATTTCATATTGGATGTTGAAAAAATTTGTGTTTGAAAAAGATGACATGTGGTGTTTGAATTAACTAACGATTCTTTTGTACTTGTGGAATGCTTGATTTCGAATTCTAAATACAATACATCCGTTCATGCTTGTCTAGTACTTCTTGATTCGATTGCGTTAATTCTGGGATTCCTAGTTCATACGATAATTCAGATACTTTCAAATATTATATGACCTTACGCTCCAACTGTTCCATTTCAAAATCTAAATAAAAGCCTACTCACAATAATCTGGTTTCTGCTATCGATGAAAATAGCCGCTCATTTATAAAAGCTATATAACTAATTATATTAAACGTTTAAATACAAAAGATGAAGTGATGAACTTTCAGCATAAACTACGTTACTTAAGTTAGTCTAAGTACTGAACCAAAATAATACAGTTGTATGAATAAAACATTTGCCTAAAAGCTCTTACACAGGTAGCGGTTGATTGAAGCTCAAATTTTTAAAGGTGCCATATTGACAGTGCTCAACTATCGAGACAGAAGTGCAAGACTTATTATTATTGACGTATTAAACAACCAGTATTCACAGATGTGCTATAATTAAAAGTATACGCACTGAATGTCTAACAAGACAACACGAAAAATTATATTATTCAGTTGAGAACACTTTGGCAGCTAAATAATCCGATAGCAATAAACTAAAGGCGAACTACAGTATAACCTGAACTGTACATATTTATTTGTCCAATCAGCACAATAAAAATAAACATTTCCAAAACAGATGGGATCACCAGAAAATAAACAACCTATACATCAGTTGATGAACTGAGTTGGAACCACTAACTACCTTCCTGACAAAATTATTACCAATAACAAAATAATAATATATACTGCTCGACAGTTTCTTAATCCCCACTTGTTGATTAAAATCCTAGGAAGAAGTCACAAAAAAAGGCAACGGAATAGTTTAAGACCTTTAGTTTAACAGAAAACGCCAACCGTCCTTACTAACTAGTCGTAAGACATTCATCCTGTAAATTACAAGCAAATAACGTAACCGACCATCATCCCAAAATCACTTCTAATCTAAACAAGAATCCGCATTTAACTACCACGAATAGCCAGATTTGCTTAGAATGGGACGTTTTGACTAGTTACTTAGATAGAACAGATATAGAGAGAAACTTTTTAAAGTGAACTACAAAGAACACATAAAGTTTACACGAAGTATAACGATACCAGCAGACCTGATGCTGAAATGGACCAATAAAAACTTTTCAATGTCAGAAACGACAAAAACAATCTAACAGGATGATATGCTATTATGTACACAACCAAAAAATTTATAAGACCGTTTTACAATGCTAACGTCTTTTACGCTTCGAATCACGGTCATAAAATTCTCCATCACTAGTACTGTCCACCTCTTCACCATCCTCAGGGTCAGACGTCCGAGAGCGTTGGCCACGTCTATGATGACGATGACGTTTACTACCACTGAGGGGATTGGCACGATCACTTGTTTGAGGATTCACAGCTTCATCATCCTCGTCATCGTCATCAGCAGCTTCTCCTTCTTCTAATTCTTCATCTTGACGCTTATCTGTATTTTTGTGATGCTTATGGTGCTTTGATTTGCGATGTTTTGATTTCTTTGATTTACGATGTTTACGTTTCTGTGATGATCCCCTTTCGTCGTCCGACCTACGAGTATGACTATGTTCTGAAGGACCTGGGGAAGGGGAAACAGTTTGTTTCTTTTTCTGATCTTTCACTGCATCGACATCTTTTTCAACATCTTGAATAGAAGCAGACCTACACGTAGGTAAATACATATGTTGATAAATTACTAACTATATACCACTAATTAAAAAGAAAGGCAAAGTTCATAGTCAGAAAAATTACTTACAACAGTGATATTTCTGAACAGAATATATACCTATTGTAAAGATGATGTGATAGTTTGTTACTTACTGCAGTTTAACCATCATTTGTTTAACCGAAGCAATTGCTAGCTTAGAAAAATAAAACAAGCGCCGCTTTAAAGTGTATTTGTCAGTTATAAAAGGTGAATATGTTTCCTTTTTATTTGAATTAATTTATTTTTGGAAATTCACAGAACAACGTCATTGTCGTTCATGGTCCTTCGTAGCGTAAACGTCTTGCCAAAATGTCTTTACCTTTCTCGTAATTGTATAATCACTACTGCTAAGATTGGCATACACTCACTACAAAATATAAAATGAATTATTAAGGATTCATAATTTCCCGTTGTTGATATACAGAGACTATAACTGATCAGTTTTTGCTTTCAAATGTTTAACTTAGGAGGATTACTTTGGTATAGACATGTGAAGTCTGGAATATAAACAACGAAAGATTATCTATGTACGCATTGCACAAGTTAGTGGCTCTATCAAGACTAAGTAGCTCAATGAATGAGTCAATGTTTGAAGCGACAGGCATTGAGGTTCAAGCTTCAGCATGGACGTCAATAGTGGAATACAGGTACATCCGGTTAACGCGTCCATAATAGGGCGACAGAAGCAACTAGATCCCACTGTCGAGCACAATCTAAATGAAGGTTCTAAATTTAGATTTCGAAAAATTTTAAAACAAGGATATGGATGCTGTATGTGCCAGATTACAATGATTTCTTAATATCTCCACAATTGATATCAGTAAGCATTTCGGTTGTCTGTAAGTTAATCAGCCTACCCCCATGAAATTAATTAAGAGAGAAAAGGAATAAAGTTCCCATGTTATACAGGAAACCTCAAAAATAAGTGAGGAATTGATACACTAATGTAAAAAGGTTGACTAAACCATAAAAACTCCTATAGAAATGCTTTAAAAACCAACCTTTCGCATAGGTGTTTATCTTTACGAGACCGATGAGAGTCTTCGTTTGAGTTGTCAATTGAAATAATATACTCTTTAAAGAGTCGAATCCTTTCTGATTCCAACGACAAACCCTAAAATAAATATTCATTGAAGTAATGAATTGTGAGGAAGAACGAACGCTTCACAACTGAAATAATTGGTCGAAAAAGTGAGTAAACAACAAATTGAGAAAGCAATCAGAGAATAAAGAGTGATAATTAGGGAATAGTGGTGATGCCAGGACACCTCATGACATTAATATTTCATTAATCGTGACAAGTGTCATCAAAACAAAACAGATGAATTATAGGTAGTATACTAAAAATCCAAAGGAACTGTACATATTTATAATCACTATCAATAATAAAAAGTTCTATATTGATTAAAACTTGAGACCTATTGGCTAAAATTTGAGTTTTAACCACTAGGTTACTACTATTCCACTAACTGTGAACACATCGAATACGTGAAATAAATGGTAATTCAGTTGGCAGTGAAGATGAAAAGGAAATCATATTATTTATTTATTCATTGTAAACTCAGTGGTAACTATAACAACTGGGAAATTTGGTTGTTGATCGCAAGGCAATAAAATTCTAGGAACGTACATAATGAAAAAATGTTCAAGACGTCTCTACAATACCATTAAACTTAAGAGTTCTCGAAATGTTTTACCAATTCATAACTGTAAGAAGTGAACACATAAATTATAAAAGCAGAGCGTAAACAGGATCCTGGACAAGAAAGGTTGATTCGCTGCAGTCTTCTCGGTGAATTTATTTTCAGAGCCCTACCATTTCAAAAAGATACTTATTTTTTTAAATAATGATCAGTATTACGTTCGTTGGTAATAATAATAATACACCAGTTAAATATGGTTACATAAAAACGAAATAAACCAAAACACAGAAGTGTTATTCTTATTAAGAAACTGAAGATAGAAATCTCAACAGCTTGAATATTCGAGCAGATAAAGAGTAACGTGGTACAATAAAATGTTTAAATTGAGGTGGAATGTAATTAAAACCTAAGAAATGAAAGTGACAATCTTAAACCAACGACAATGATGGTTTTCGAAGTCTGATTTCCACAGGCAAAATATTCGAAATTGAATAAATGCATCAGTCAAATCAGTTTGGCATATGTGCATCCTGTGCGGATTGTCTATAAACAGAGATTTGACTGATCAATTGCAGTCCTAAACACCAATGGGAAGATTCAAACAATCAATACAAAAATGAATTAAAACGTTACCTCATTGCACAACCTAGTGGCTATCTGGACTCAGTAGCTAAGTGGATAAGGTGATAGCGTTTGGGGCGAACAGTACTGGATTCGAGTCCCGGTCAGTCAGTCAGTCAGTCAGTAACAACGTTGAACTTCGTACGTACGTACATCAGTTCGAGTTGCCACACCACATTAGCACAGAGATGCAGTGGTCGATTCAAATCCCGTAGTGGTAGAGGTAGCAAGAGTATAAGCAGTAATCGGGAAGATTAGGGTTTGGAGATGTTATTTAAAGAGTATAATCCAGTGAAAGAAATTTGGAAAGAGGGAAAAAAGGACATGAAGAATTCAGAAGATTAGAGTTTAGGAGAACACAGAGAGTGGATGCACCTGCGCCATTGCAAACGATTTTGAGCCATGTCATTCAGGGTCTCTAACCATCGGTTGCTGTCATCTCGCGGTCCCCAACCAGGTAGTCTACACCTACCAACATGACTCAATTCACTTGTCAGTGACTTCATGGACTTGTGCCATGTTTTGGTTTGGCCGCCCCTAGCTTTCTTCCAACCTACTCCTATACCACTGAACATAGCACGTCGAGGCAGTCGATCGTTGGGCATACGTAACACGTGTCCCAGCCATCTCAACTGATGAAGTTTCACTACGTCATCAATTGATTTGCCATCCTTACCTAGTACCCGTTTCCTAACAACTGCACTACTTACTCGATGGTCCCATGATATACGAGCAATGTTTCGGAGACACCTATGATCGAATACTAGTAACCTACGGATATCCTCTACTCTTACCGGCCATGTTTCACTGCCATAAAGTAGGACGGAACGAACTGCTGCGCAGTAAACACGTCCTTTGGTTGATAGACGGATATCTCGCCTACGCCATAAATGACGCAAGTTGGCAAAAGCTAGTCGAGCCTTCTGTATCCGTGCTGAGATTTCGTCACACACCAAACCACAAGGGCTGATGAGACTTCCAAGATAAGTGAAGCGGTCGACACACTCAACTACTTCACTCCCTATCACTAGTTCGGGTGTCGATGTAACCCAATCCTGAAGCAACATTTTGCATTTCGAGGGAGAGAATCGCATCCCGAACATGCTTGCATTGTTGCTTAGAGTGGTCATAAGACTCTGCATTTTGTCAGCGTCTTCACCAAATAAAACTATGTCATCTGCATATTCTAAGTCAACAAGTGAACCTCCTGGTAGAAGTTCAACCCCTGTAAATTTAGATGAGGAGAGTGTTATCTCTAAAAGTACGTCAATGACAAAGTTGAACAAGAATGGGGAGAGAGGACAGCCCTAACGAACACCACTTGAGGTGATCAATTCTGATGACAGTTCGCCATAAGCTCTCACTCTACCAGTTGTGTTCGAGTAGAGAGCCTTTATAAGGTTAATGTACTTCTTTGGTACTCCTTTCAGTGACAAACATTGCCATAGAACCTCACGATCAACGGAGTCGAATGCCGCCTTAAGGTCAGTCAGTCAGTCAGTCAGTAACAACGTAGAACTTCGTACGTACGTACATCAGTTCGAGTTGCCACACCACATTAGCACAGAGATGCAGTGGTCGATTCAAATCCCGTAGTGGTAGAGGTAGCAAGAGTATAAGCAGTAATCGGGAAGATTAGGGTTTGGAGATGTTATTTAAAGAGTATAATCCAGTGAAAGAAATTTGGAAAGAGGGAAAAAGGGACATGAAGAATTCAGAAGATTAGAGTTTTGGAGAACACAGAGAGTGGATGCACCTGCGCCATTGCGAACGATTTTGAGCCATGTCATTCAGGGTCTCTAACCATCGGTTGCTGTCATCTCGCGGTCCCCAACCAGGTAGTCTACACCTACCAACATGACTCAGTTCACTTGTCAGTGACTTCATGGACTTGTGCCATGTTTTGGTTTGGCCGCCCCTAGCTTTCTTCCAACCTACTCCTATACCACTGAACATAGCACGTCGAGGCAGTCGGTCGTTGGGCATACGTAACACGTGTCCCAGCCATCTCAACTGATGAAGTTTCACTACGTCATCAATTGATTTGCCATCCTTACCTAGTACCCGTTTCCTAACAACTGTGTTACTTACTCGATGGTCCCATGATATACGAGCAATGTTTCGAAGACACCTATGATCGAATACTAGTAACCTACGGATATCCTCTACTCTTATCGGCCATGTTTCACTGCCATAAAGTAGGACGGAACGAACTGCTGCGCAGTAAACACGTCCTTTGGTTGATAGACGGATATCTCGCCTACGCCATAAATGACGCAAGTTGGCAAAAGCTAGTCGAGCCTTCTGTATCCGTGCTGAGATTTCGTCACACACCAAACCACAAGGGCTGATGAGACTTCCAAGATAAGTGAAGCGGTCGACACACTCAACTACTTCACTCCCTATCACTAGTTCGGGTGTCGATGTAACCCAATCCTGAAGCAACATTTTGCATTTCGAGGGAGAGAATCGCATCCCGAACATGCTTGCATTGTTGCTTAGAGTGGTCAGAAGACTCTGCATTTTGTCAGCGTCTTCACCAAATAAAACTATGTCATCTGCATATTCTAAGTCAACAAGTGAACCTCCTGGTAGAAGTTCAACTCCTGTAAATTTAGATGAGGAGAGTGTTATCTCTAAAAGTATGTCAATGACAAAGTTGAACAAGAATGGGGAGAGTGGACAGCCCTGACGAACACCACTTGAGGTGATCAATTCTGATGACAGTTCGCCATAAGCTCTCACTCGACCAGTTGTGTTCGAGTAGAGAGCCTTTATAAGGTTAATGTACTTCTTTGGTACTCCTTTCAGTGACAAACACTGCCATAGAACCTCACGATCAACGGAGTCGAATGCCGCCTTAAGGTCGAGAAATACTACCATTGTGGGGCGTCTGAATGTGTGTCTCTGTTCTAGAACCTGACGTAGTGTGAATATCTGATCTATACAACCACGTCCAGGTCGAAAACCAGCCTGGTTTTCTCTAGTCTGCTCTTCACGAGCTTTAGTTAGGCGTCGAAGTATTATTGAAGCTAATATTTTAGACACTATATTAGTCAAACTGATTCCTCTGTGATTGTCACAGGAGGACTTTTGTCCTTTCTTAAAAACTGGCACAATCAGTGATTGAGACCAGTCAGATGGGATTACGTCCAGTTCCCAAATTCTACCTAAGACCTCAGTTAATCTCGCTGCTAATACTGGACCACCATCCTTAAAAATCTCAGGAGTAAACCTGTCAGGGCCTGCTGCTCTCCCTCGTTTCAGATTTCCTATGGCTTTTTCAACTTCGTAAAGGGACGGAGGACTTACATTAACTTGCCATTCAGGTTGACTGGAGATCGTGGGAAACCGAAGTGTGGCTGAAGGCCAGTTGAACTGATCCCTAAAGTGTTCTGCCCATCGATCCAATCTTCTGGATTGAGAATGAATAATATGTCCATCTTTCTCTGAGATTGTTTCGCTAACGGTCGGGTTCCTAATTCCGGTTTCCTTAACGAGTCTAAACAATTGTCTGCTATTACCTATTGCCGCTGCCTTTTCCATCTCTCTTGCTTTCGCTACCCACCACTGTTCGCGATCATTGCGTAGACTTCTTGTCAGCTTGCGCTTAAGCTGACTCCGCTCTTCATTATGTTCAGAGCCAGGTGGAATGAGTTTTCGAGCATCTATCAGTGCGATAGATGCTGCTGAGATCCAGTGTTGCTCCCTAATTTTACGGTTTACCTTACTAGCAGATATCACTGCTGTTTCCACAGCTTTTCGGATATCGTTCCATGCTGCCTCGGGGTGGGCATCACATACATGGCTGCCTAACTGTTTTCCTAGTTGTTCCTGAAATATATTCTTAGCTTGACTATCATTAAGTAGGGCCCTAAGAGGTTTCCTTGCAGGATCTTTCCTACGTCCAGTAAGACGCAAGCAAATACGCGCTCGCACTAGAGCATGATCTGAATCTAGGCATGTGCTCCAGAATGAGCGACAGTCTTCTATCGAGCCCCTCCATCGGTGGCTGATAGCGATGTGATCTATTTGGGTCCAACGTTGGGACGAATTAGGGGGTCGCCATGTTAAAAGATGTTTTTCCTTATGCTTAAAGTTAGTATTTACAAGGAACAGGCGGTTATCTGAGCATAGCTGCAACAGACGGTCGCCATTATCTGTTCTTTGAGCCACGACACCATAGGATCCACCTAGGTGTCTTTCCTTATCGCTTAGTTTACCTACTTGAGCATTAAAGTCACCGGCCACTATTACTACATCCGAGCGCTTAGCTTTTCGGAGAAGGTCCGAAAGCTTTCTGTAAAACTCATCTTTTACATCATCTGAGCTGCAGTCAGTGGGAGAATAGGCAGAGACGACGAAGAGGCAACGACGAGTGTCTCTATCTTTCCGGATTCTTACTGTTCCGTTCAGTCGGACAGCGCACAAACGACTGTTTACTGGGATCCACTCTAAGAGAGCTAGTTCTGCCCTAGGACTCAATGCTATACCTACGCCGGCGAGGCCACGGGAAGCAGAATCAGGGCTTCCAGATACACGAAGCGTAAATCGAGTCGGTTCTTTATTTTGGCATGGTGAGGTCAAATGAATGACGCTACTCGGATCTTGTATGCGCGTTTCGGAGACGCAGCACACATCGATGGCGCGAGATTCTAAAGTCCTAGCTAAGGAAGCCTGCTGTCCTATTTGGCACAGTGTTCGTACGTTAAAAGCTCCTACGTGTAGTTTAGAGCGTGGTTTCAGGAAACCAGGAATGGCGTTCCACGTACTCGAATCGTTTGCCCTAGCGGTGCGAGGTGATAAAGAGACGTGAGGAGGGTTAGTCGGGAGGATAAGAGAGGTATTAGGAGGTGTAGGAAGGATTTGAATGTGACCACCTTGGTCTCTTGTGCTGTTACGGGTATGAGGGCTGATGTCACTTCCCGGCTGCCCACACCGTGGAAGGCCGCCTTAAGGTCGAGAAATACTACCATTGTGGGGCGTCTGAATGTGTGTCTCTGTTCTAGAACCTGACGTAGTGTGAATATCTGATCTATACAACCACGTCCAGGTCGAAAACCAGCCTGGTTTTCTCTAGTCTGCTCTTCACGAGCTTTAGTTAGGCGTCGAAGTATTATTGAGGCCAATATTTTAGACACTATATTAGTCAAACTGATTCCTCTGTGATTGTCACAAGAGGACTTTTGTCCTTTCTTAAAAACTGGCACAATCAGTGATTGAGACCAGTCAGATGGGATTACGTCCAGTTCCCAAATTCTACCTAAGACCTCAGTTAATCTTGCTGCTAATACTGGACCACCATCCTTAAAAATCTCAGGAGTAAACCTGTCAGGGCCTGCTGCTCTCCCTCGTTTCAGATTTCCTATGGCTTTTTCAACTTCGTAAAGGGACGGAGGACTTACATTAACTTGCCATTCAGGTTGACTGGAGATCGTGGGAAACCGAAGTGTGGCTGAAGGCCAGTTGAACTGATCCCTAAAGTGTTCTGCCCATCGATCCAATCTCCTGGATTGAGAATGAATAATATGTCCATCTTTCTCTGAGATTGTTTCGCTAACGGTCGGGTTCCTAATTCCGGTTTCCTTAACGAGTCTAAACAATTGTCTGCTATTACCTATTGCCGCTGCCTTTTCCATTTCTCTTGCTTTCGCTACCCACCACTGTTCGCGATCATTGCGTAGACTTCTTGTCAGCTTGCGCTTAAGCTGACTCCGCTCTTCATTATGTTCAGAGCCAGGTGGAATGAGTTTTCGAGCCTTTATCAGTGCGATAGATGCTGCTGAGATCCAGTGTTGCTCCCTAACTTTACGGTTTACCTTACTAGCAGATATCACTGCTGTTTCCACAGCTTTTCGGATATCGTTCCATGCTGCCTCGGGGTGGGCATCACATACATGGCTGCCTAACTGTTTTCCTAGTTGTTCCTGAAATATATTCTTAGCTTGACTATCATTAAGTAGGGCCCTAAGAGGTTTCCTTGCAGGATCTTTCCTACGTCCAGTAAGACGCAAGCAAATACGCGCTCGCACTAGAGCATGATCTGAATCTAGGCATGTGCTCCAGAATGAGCGACAGTCTTCTATCGAGCCCCTCCATCGGTGGCTGATAGCGATGTGATCTATTTGGGTCCAACGTTGGGACGAATTAGGGGGTCGCCATGTTAAAAGATGTTTTTCCTTATGCTTAAAGTTAGTATTTGTAAGAAAGAGGCGGTTATCTGAGCATAGCTGCAACAGACGGTCGCCATTATCTGTTCTTTGAGCCACGACACCATAGGATCCACCTAGGTGTCTTTCCTTATCGCTTAGTTTACCTACTTGAGCATTAAAGTCACCGGCCATTATTACTACATCCGAGCGCTTAGCTTTTCGGAGAAGGTCCGAAAGCTTTCTGTAAAACTCATCTTTTACATCATCTGCACTGCAGTCAGTGGGAGAATAGGCAGAGACGACGAAGAGACAACGACGAGTGTCCCTATCTTTCCGGATTCTTACTGTTCCGTTCAGTCGGACAGCGCACAAACGACTGTTTACTGGGATCCACTCTAAGAGAGCTAGTTCTGCCCTAGGACTCAATGCTATACCTACGCCGGCGAGGCCACGGGAAGCAGAATCAGTGCTTCCAGATACACGAAGCGTAAATCGAGTCGGTTCTTTATTTTGGCATGGTGAGGTCAAATGAATGACGCTACTCGGATCTTGTATGCGCGTTTCGGAGACGCAGCACACATCGATGGCGCGAGATTCTAAAGTTTTAGCTAAGGAAGCCTGCTGTCCTATTTGGCAAAGTGTTCGTACGTTAAAAGCTCCTACGTGTAGTTTAGAGCGTGGTTTCAGGAAACCAGGAATGGCGTTCCACGTACTCGAATCGTTTGCCCTAGCGGTGCGAGGTGATAACGAGACGTGAGGAGGGTTAGTCGGGAGGATAAGAGAGGTATTAGGAGGTGTAGGAAGAATTTGAATGTGACCACCTTGGTCTCGCGTGCTGTTACGGGTATGAGGGCTGATGTCACTTCCCGGCTGCCCACACCGTGGAAGGGTATTTCTTGATGAACCTGAAAAGGAAATTGGATTAGTGTTGGTCTTAAAGACCTGGGAGCGTGACCGCAGAGCCCAAGGGACAACTGCTTGAGGCCGGTCGCGCACGGCCTTTTTGTGGAAGGTTTTTGACGTGTTAGCTCCGTTCTTCAAAGGGCCTTACCGCCGGAGACGGAAATCCGTGAGGTAAGGTGAGGTGTGCATTTTTAGGGTCGACCTTTTCTAACCCCACCCCTCCTTGTGGGAAGGCAGCATCGCTGTCATGCTGGTTGTCCGAGGGAAACACCTTACTGCTGTCACACCCCTCTACAGTCAGCAGTACGACTTCGCCCTCAGACCTTGAGTTGCTGCTTTTAGTCTTACCGTTCGCCAATCGACCTGCCTGGCATGGTAGAACCTGCAGGAACATATGTTCCAGCCAATATAGTTCGGTTGGGTCATCACGATAGGCAAGCCCGACCACCGCGTCAAGGTAGCAGCTTCGAGTCCCGGAGTGGACATCAACTCTGAGATGCATGTACATCCAGCTGACGAGTCCCATATTGGACGAGACGCGAGTCCTGGACCCTACTGTTAACCATCATGCATCTGTGCTTATAAAGTTAAATCAATTTATTTAGAATCTAATCATGAAAGGCTACTAAACAAACTAATAAGTCAAAAACCAACTGACATTGAGGTTAAAATACAAGAGAGAAATGGGAAATTTACTTTGAAGGCAGGATGGTCACTTAATTTTTCTCGAACTTCTTCCCAACTAGTATTGGACTGAATGAAGGAGGAATTTGTAAGCATTTCACAGAAGTTTTGTTCAAGTTTTCTCATACGCCTAGCATCGTCTTTTTGGCGTTCACGTTCACGACCTTGAGCTTTTTCTAGTAGACCATCATATGTCATACGCATATTTCCGTCATCTATTCCTTTGCTGCGTTCATCAGAGCCTATTATCTGAAAAATACCCCAAAACTTGATATTAAAATGTAGAACTCCATTGTTATTTCGATATAAAATAGTTACCAATTAGTATGAGTCAACGATATTGAACATTTTATATTTACAAAATGCAGTTGGTTTATAACCAACCAAATTCGTTTTGTTAATTTTTGAGTTCCGCAGAGGAAATTATGGACTTTGCACTTTACTGACAAGGAATCACTGTTTTTAAACATGAACTATGTAACAACATGGACCAGTGTGAAAACATGACATACAGGTTTATGTTAATAAAACATGTTGCGCATTCAAGCACATATTAGGAGAGAAAAAAAGACAAACTACAGTTCACTGAAGATTTCGTTTTCACGGGATTTTATTTTTCACGGGATTTCATTCATACGATCCAGTTGACTAATAACAACGTCAAGAACCAGATTATTAATGAAAACGCCCCGCACCTCAATAAAGTGATGTCAAAACACAAATCAAATGACCAGAAAACAATTTTCTTATTCTAGTAAAAATAAACACACAAGTTAAAAACAGACAACATAATTAAACTCTAAATGAAACACTAGTGGGTATAGGATTTACAGTTTAATTCACTAAAAGATGAATTCATTGATGAAAATGTGAAGCTAGATCAAAATGGTTTGTTAGACAAATAACATTATTAATCCAAGTATCCATGCTTTGCAACACAGAAATGAGTGAACAATCGTAAAACTAGCAATGATTAAACCTGATAACCCGATCTTAGTTCTACTAAAGTGTGGGTAAATCACAAAACTAGCATTTTGCATTTGCTTATGATATTTAATCATGTTTATTTTTGTATTTAACATCTTGTACATTATACGTTAATTTACAAGGAAACAAACTTATTCTATTGGCTTGTCTTTTGATATTATTTAAATCAACAACTCAATCTGGTGAACAGCCATCACTCAGCATACACTGCAACATTGCGTTTCATTTAGTGATTAATATCCTCCTCATTGTTTTAACAAGCGAAACGGCTTCATAATAAAAATTGGAATCCCTCTCCACAAGAATATATCATTATGACACTGAAGTAAAGTATCATAAGTTGAAATGATCACAAATACATTAGGTTAAATTTCAGCTAACATTACACAAAATCGTAATAATGCTAACACCTTATGATAACACTTTAAACTGTTACATTGTAGAGATTCACTACAGAAAACAATAAACTTACCGAACAAAAATCTTCGTATGAAACAGACAAGTCGATTGGTGTACAATTGTATTTTAAAATCTCTTTGATAATCTTCTTTTCAGCTGGGAAACGGGCTCTTAATGCTTCAACATAGAACTTGAATAAATCCAATGGCGTAGAACCACGTTGAGCAAGCATTTTGTGGAATCGATCATCTCTAAAACAGTCGAAAGTACACACAAAGTATGAAGATTTAGCGTCAAATCAAACGAAATTTCGTTTCACCATATATCTGTTATAGGTTACTGTATCAAGGCTCATTTGTACATGTAAAGAATATTGAAGAATACATATCAATAACGATAATTGTCATCTATAACGGATGTCAAAAATTTACGTGTTTGATGTTGACAAGCCATCCATATTTCCCATCACATGAGCTAATATACTCTATGATTGTAAGATAGGATGATAAAAGCGAAAGACGAGGGACTACACATTTCTCGTTGTCTGTATTTCTCAAATACTTCTTAACTGTCGATATATTGCTTGTTTTGAGGTTGAATTTGCAGTTTTAGGCATAGATTAAATAAACGCATATCAAACGAGCTGGCTATGGCACGTGATGCATATGAAGAACTATCATCAGCCTTGGATGCAATCTTAAACTGAGTAAAATACTTTGGAGCAACATCCATAGTCATTAGAGAGAAATCTCAAGGGTATCTATTAGAAAAACTTTGGTTATTATTGTGTGGCTATATTATCAAATACAGGTTTATGTAACAGGTCTTGGGTCATATTGTGATAGCCAGTAATAATACTCAGCTAAAGTAGGCCGAACGTAATTCGAATACACAACTTAACGGCTGGAAACGGAGCACAGTAATCACTAAACCACCGCTCCTTAACATTAACTGTTGCCTAATAGTATGAGAGACTGAAGCAAGATTAAAGAGACGAATAAGACTTAGAGTATGGATCTGAGATTTTAAAAAAATCTATCATCCCTTTTCCTCTTTATAGTAGTGATGAAGGAGTTTAATTAGTACGGTATACTGAGAGCACAGAAATGAAGTTTTATTACATTTTTAAGAAGAAATTCACAAAATAATTACAGATAGAACAATATCACAGCTGTTTTACATCCTTGGTTGAATAGTTAACCACAAAAGGAGCAATGTTACTGTTAAGCTCACAGTAATCTATAAAATTAGATTGGCTGACGAGATTGTGAGCGCTAAACAACTGGGAAGTTGGAATAAGCACTTCAACCGTCTAGATGAAATTGAAGTATAAAACCAGTTTCTTGATGACCGGAAAGATATATAGCATCAAGTGATAACATTGATAGCTTCTTACATGATCTCATCCATGAAGACATAAGCTTCATGAATGTCTGTAAAACAACTAAAGTGGATGATCGTCAACTGTAGAAGACAGATTTAAGTGAAATTACAGGAAGTATGTGTATAGTTTATTTCCTTGAACAATCTTATATTCAACACAGTCCCATGTGTTATGACTTTATGTCCGGCTTTTTATCACGTGATTTATCCACCAATCAAAATACGACTTATACAATCTTAGCACTGTGCCAAACCAATGACTTTCGACCGGTATGAGCAGCCTAGCGTCCTTATTGGTCCTATGTTCGCCTAGCCCGTCCACTTGAGTCCAGAACACCATTACCAGCTTCCACTATGCGAATCGAATCTTTTATTTTAGACATACTGGGTTTATATATCAACCAAACAGACCGCAACGCACCATAAAACAGGAAATAACATTTGTACACAATAAAGCCAAAAAGTGGCTGTGAACGTGGGAGGCAGTAGTCAATAAACTAAGCATGGCTTAAGAACCGTAAATCGTACAATAATAAATTATAAGTCAAAATAAAGCCTATAACAAGGGGAATATAGATATACATAATCTAGTTAACGAATATTTATACCATGAGAATATATAAATAATAAGTCCATTAATAAGTCTCAGACGTTACTCGTAATGTAATCTTCACTAGGATATAACACTATGTATTTAATTGTCGTTTTGGTCATTTTCCTTTAGTACCTTGTTTCTTCGTTGACGGGTTCCCGCAAGTTGTGTTTATTCATATAGTGTTAGCTAGAATGGATAAACTAGCAAATAATTTCTTGATTTTTTCTGTGCGGTTTACTATTTTTAACAAAATTTCATAAATTTCTATACTGTTTTGGATTATCAGAGTCGAAAAATAATGTACTAAAATTAGCATAAAATCGCTTACTTATTTATTATATGGTATAGATCTTTCCATAGAGACATAGAAGTGAGTAATTTCTGTTCGTGCAATTCATCAAGTAAAACTATAAATGCTTCTCGATTCTTTCGTTGTTCCCTTTTTTGTCTCCGACGTTCGCGTTCTTTATCTTCGTCGTGCTCTTGCTCAAGCATACAAATATGCTCTTCAAAACAGACAAGGGCATCCTCTTTATCTAAGTTTTGCAAATCCACATCTCCAGTAAATCTAGCATTAGTGTAAATTTAAAAATACACAGAAGGCTAACAGTCGGAACAGATAAAGCAATGTGATATATTACGAGACTACTAGCCTAAATTCAGCTGATAAGTAGAAAACAGTTGTGGATGTCAATAACATGAAAACTAAATTGATTGACTCAGAATGGGCAGACATCCTCTCAAAATTAAAGCTCGATTCGTTAGACGTTTCAAAGATTTGACTGATCCCTCACCACATCTAACTATCAAACCGGAATACACAGATGACAATGTCCCGCTTGATGGAAACTGGAAAAAAACCGATTGCTTGAACGCCTTAAGTAACATTGTAAGCGAGTCGGAAGAGTATTAATGTTCTTCCTAATGTACAATGTTACACCATAAATAGTCAGCATTAGCCCGTAGTTTGACCTTAGGGAGTGAGGTAGTTGAGCACGTTAACTTACCTTGAAATTCTGATCAATACTGATAGGTTGTTGTCCGAAAATTTTTATTAAGGACATAAAAAGAATAATTCCTACTAATCTGAGTTGTCTATGGTATAAGTGGGATTTCTATCTCGCAATCAAGGGGTAGTTGCACTGAAAACCAGTTTGTTCTACATTATTCTACGTCTGCCAAACATCCCCCAATGAAAGTGACATAGGCAGTGTGAAAGATTTTTATTGTTTCTTTGAAGTTATTTCCAAATACAGTGGAACGACAGAGCACTGCTGAGGTTAGATCCATCATACTAAGTAAAAAATCCCAAGTCCACTGATCAGAATATATACCTTCATCAATCAAGATCAATAGGAAATGCACTTGTCTAAACACCACCTAACCTGCAATGTTGGGTGACGTGGAATTAGGAAAAAGCTGACGGTGGTTAAATTAAGGCATCTTCCACGACGTTACTGACAGTAGGTGAAAACTTGCTGGTTGAGGTTACACAATAATCATCAATAGCTCGAGACGTTTGGCGACAAGGCTCAAATTCCGTCACAGTGGTGCGACTGGATTTATTTACCATTCTCAAATATTGACTGATTATTTCAATCACCTGTTTTACATTCTAGTTTCTATCTAAATAGCTCAGCTGTAACACTTATGACTATAGCATCGGTTAAAACAGTTTTAAATTATTGTAAGGCGGAACATCAGTTTCTTGAAGATTTTAGGTACGTGTCAGTTCGAGCTTTTACGTCACACAAGTACAGTGTGGTGAAATTAACAGGATGAATAACGAAGGAGTAGAAATAATATCAGCAATAATGACAGTAAAAGGGCTGAAGATAAAGAATATGGTTAGGACAGAAACAAAATGTTCACAGGAATAAAAAACATATGTCGGGGGATCCCAACAAGCACGAAACCTAGGTTCAAGACATCTTGTCAATTACTTCTCACAGCTTCGCATCAAAACAAAGTGAGCCACAATGTCATGTCATTTAGCTTAGTGAGCGCAGTGAAAACTTGATTGATATGATTTTGTGACCACAAATTATATAATATCATACCGATTATTACTCATTATCCTATTAATATAAACGTTACTTGCTATTTAGTAACCTACTACCCAATTTCAAAAAAACAATTGGGGTTTTAACAGCTTATTGTAGTAACACCTAGAATAAAACTGTAGAACTATCCAAAAACTCGTTCCCAGTTTCAAGTCTGGCGTTCCTAACCAATGTGTCGTTTTCCTTTCGTGCTTATATGAAACCACAAATACGCATAGAGTGCGAGAACTGTTCTGATAGTTACACATAGATTATTTACTCAAATTAGTACCACCTGCAGAACAAACAAACACCAATCACTAAAATAAGGGCAAAATCTGTCTTTTTAAAACAAAAAAGGCACACAAATGAATTTGGTAATAATCTCTTGCCGGTTCGATTTAATTAAGTGCATATTACATAACATTAATAGCGAAAATTAATTAAATAAGTATATTTAGCTAACCTGGTATTATCAAGCAGCATTTGTTGTGCTTCGCTCCAGGTCGTCCGATATGTAAGATCAAGCATCTCACTAAGGATTTCATTAAATACTCGTATATTCCTTTTACGCAAAATCTTAGCCTCTTCTCGTTCACGTTTACCTACCTCTTGAATGACATCATCGAATATTTCACGACGATCTCGATCAGGGACATCAGTCCATTCTTTCGTATCCGACAGTAGTTGATCTACTCTACGGTATGACATAGTTGAGTGTAGTTTATTGCATTTCAAAAGATACTTTTCTAGATCCTCTTTCGCCCTCTTAATTCTTATTCTCTGCTCCTCGCGTTCTTCTTTTAACCTTTGAGTCTTGTAAACATTAAATATTTGCTTCTTTTCATTGAACGTTCTCAAGATACAGTAACGAGGATCCCCGGAGATTAACTTTAGTGCTTGCTCCCATGTAGCCCCACCGGGAACATTGCAATCCCTGAAAAGCCTCCTAAGACCTTCGGCCATTTCTCCTCGGGTCTTATATTCTGGCACCGTCTGAGTATTTGGTGAAAATGTAGTTATATGTGGATTGGATGCAGGCTTCTCTTCGTCACTTTCATCTTTATCACTGTCATCTACTTTTTCCGGAGGTAGTGGAATCGGAATTGATGACGGTCCAGTATCTGACGTATCAAAAGAGGCCAAAGTTGCCTTCATTGCCCGTTCTATTTCCGAAGGTTCAGGAGGCTTATTGACGTCATCTTTTGGGGTAGCTGGTGTACACGGTGTGACTGGGGGGATACTTGGTGGCTGTTCGGGGACCGTAGCATTTACAGCTGAATTACAGGCGGCTGCTTGGTTTTCAGCGTCTATCAGTTCTTGTGGCTTGATCCATACTGATTGTTTTGTATTCTCATTAAAATAGTAAGGTTTACCGTTTTCGGATTTAAACTCTTTCCATGGACAGTTGCAAAGTATTTTCTCACGCTGAGTCTTCAACTCTTGAGGTTTTTCCCAAGTCGTCTGTTGAGTGAATGTATTATAGTAGTATTTTCTCCCATCATGAGAATGGTGCTCTACCCATCCTGCATTGATTTGAGCAGCTGATAACTGGGTGACAGAGTTGGCTGGATTAGGAATCGACGCAGGCACGAAGGTTGGGTGAGCGTAACCAGGATAACCAAGGTGAGCAGTAACAAAGTGGTGAGGATAACCTGCCATCACTAGACGAAGTGAAACCTGAAGAATGCCAACACGATTAGCTGATGTACGTCAACTTAGTTACTTTAACTAGTTCCGGATGATTGTAGACACAAAGTGATGAGCGGGAGAATATACTAGCTACACTCAATAGAAACACCAGGGAAAAAAGACAAACAATTATTTATCGCTTGTAACTTAAAAAGCCAAGACTAACAAATAATAAATATTTTTTTGATATCCCAACGTGTAGAAAATTGTATTTCAGATGTTTTGTGAATTAATGTAAATCACTTCTTTAGAGTAAATAAATAACTGAAATAAAGTTAACATGAGTTTAAATAGTACAAAGGAATATCACAAAAAGATATTTACTATTAACTTACTACCCAATGCCAAATTTATTTGAAACTATCAAGTCCAACCTTGGAATTGATAGCTACAAGACTAACAATTGTGAGACGGCCTTAGCTAAATTGTTAGGGATTTCAGAACCTAACAACCTCTCGAAAGCAATTTATCTGCATTCAAAATTGTTACAATCGTTCAGGAATTTGAAATGCTTCCGCGAAATCCAACAATACGCTTGAAGCTACTACCAGGATAATTACAAACTGACGATAATGAAATATCTGGAACACCAAAACATGTCCTAAAGGTAAAAATTACATGTGAATCGATCTCAGCGGCTGGAATTTAGATGACCGTAATGTTTCGCCCTGGTTCGAAACTCTACAGAAAGACTTAGAAGCCAAGTTTCGCCAAGCTGTTCGCCTAAATTTCGACAAATGTTCGTACGAAACATGTCTTGCGTACAGCTGTATAACACTTGTGTCGAAAGAAAGAACTGAAAAGTTGCAAACAAGAATAGTAGAATCACACACAAATACATGGGAGATCTACACTTTTACGATGTAGTATACCAAGTGTACTGAACTCGCACACTCTGACCACCTCATATAGTGATGAGAAAACCACGTTATCACACATCAGAGTAAAGACACTAGCACAATAGGGAAGAAATAAGACAAGGATAAACAGGTGCTAGTGTATTCAGTAACATACTTATGAAATGAAGGAAACGAATGCACCTTTACTAGTAATAGAATTTCAATCACTCCACGTTTATTAAGCTTGTTTGACTGACGAATAAAATAGGTGGGAAGCAAAACAAAGTACATCCAGAAAGATTCCCTTAAGATCCAGATTTGAGTATTGGAAACGGAAGGATGATGACCTGTGTTAGCTCTTTTCTAGCAAAGTTCTGTATACCGTAGACCTCTCTTGAATAATTTCAGATACATGCAACGACAATACTTACAGACGTAAGTCTCAAAAGTTGACTACTCGGTTAGCAAACCTAAACGACACCATAACTTTGCTCGCCCTTGTGTTTTCAATCTCTTTTGAGTATTCCTAACAATAAGAGAGGGGATATGATATCTAGATTCGTTTCCTAAGTATCCTTTCAATCATTGTTAGACAGTTCCTAGGTTGTTGATTCAAGAATAAAGACACCGAATTTCCCCTGATAATATAATCACTATCATCTGAAATTGCGACGGGCATGAATAAGCAATTAATCACGTTAATAGGCATCAACCAAAACCTGCATAGCCAAGACTAAAACATTCGAGCTGGATGGTCAGTCGAATGAAACGCCAGTGTCGTCTGTCCTGTTTTATGATGACGTAGAAATCGTAGTCATGGTAATCTGATTGAAGATAAAAGGTTTAAAACCCTATGGCTATTCAGACGAACTGGATGGGTGAAAATATCTTCACCAAAATGCATAAAGGCTCAGTGAAACGCGAACTAAAAGACTGCTTTTATGCTGTAGACCCTTGACAGAAAGGTGAATTAGACGTTTTCAAAAAAGTACGGATAGTCAAGTGTGCGATTACGAGGCTTATTATACACGGCGCAGACTGCGGGGCTATCTAATTACAATTGGAAGAATACATAGAAAAAGATTTTATACATGATAAATACTGTCTTTTTCTTAGTTATAGATCAAGACAGGCAGCTTTAAGAACATAGCGAGTCCCTCCAATTATTCCATAACTTCACTGGGTTCTTAGGACTATCTGCCGTTGGAACAAGAAATCACTGAGATCTCTAAAGTTACAAGATTTGAAGCCAATCAAGCTACCAAAAACCAAGCAACTTGTCCGATACCGTTTACAATACCCGCTACAAATTACTCCAAGCTCAAACCTCAATCTTTGTTTGCTGAAATTTGCTAACTACTTGTTATTTCGAATTTACATCTGGACAGTTGGAAGGCGTTTTTGTAGTATGAAAGTATAGTTCTTGCAATCTTACTTCTGAAATGAGGGACTAGATAAGTTGGTCATTAACTGTAACCAATAACTTGCTGAACATGGCACAACATGGTTTTAGAAAGGGTCTATCCTGTACAACGAACCTCCTTATAGCTAGGGAGTTCTGAATTAATGCGCTAGACAACGGAAGCTCAGTGGATGTGGTCTACATAGACTTCAGTAAGGCTTTTGACAAGGTGTCAACTAATAGACTGCTATTGAAGTTGGCAAACCTTGGTATTGCCGGACCTCTTTTAAAATGGATTAAGGATTTCCTAGTATGTCGTAGGCAAAAAGTAAGAATAAATTCCAAGTGCTCCATCTGGAGACCAGTACTTAGTGGAGTACCCCAAGGTTCCGTCCTAGGTCCTTTACTTTTTATAATGTACGTTAATGATCTTACAAGTATAGTACAGTCTCCAATGTTATTATACGCTGACGATGTAAAAATTTGGCGAGTAATAACTGGAGAGAAAGACGTATTTACTCTTCAGGCGGACTTAAATAATATGATAAACTGGTCTAAAGAGTGGCTAATGCCTATCAACTCGGAAAAGTGTGTCTACATGCACTTGGGGGATTCAAAGGTTAATACGTACAACATGGGGGATGTGTCATTACCCGTAGTCCGGTCTCATAAGGACCTAGGGGTGACAGTGAGCAATGATCTTAAGACGACGGCCCACTGCCGGGAGGTCGCAGTTAAGGGGTTTCGACCCCTCTGGGCTTTAAAAAGGACATTCACTAAGCTTGATACTACCATGTTCACCACAGTATACACATCCTTAGTGAGAACGTAGTTAGAGAACTATGTTCAGGCTGCAAGCCCCTGTTTAAAAGGTGACTCAGACATACTAGAAAAAGTACAGAGGGCAGCTACGCGTGCAATTCCGGAACTCCAGGGTTTATCATATAAAGAGCGGCTTGAAAAACTGAACCTCTTTACTCTGTCCTATCGCAGACTAAGGGGAGATCTAATCTTGATGTACAGAATACTGAGAAATGATTTCGGACCTAACTTATTCTCTCTCTCTCTTCCCACTAGATCGGGACACCTCAGAGGACATAGCAGGCAAGTGGAAAAGCCAAGAACGAACAAAATACCCGTGGCATACAGGTTTTCACACCGAGTCATCAATACTTGGAACCTGCTGCCTGAAGCAGTGGTGTCCGCACCTTCATTTGACTCTTTCAAGAGAAGACTGGACACTCACAGAAGCATACTAGAAAAGGAATAAAATAGGCCGTAGGCCTTCTGTCCTTACTACACAAATCTGAATCTGAACTGTAGGAGCGACCATAGCGCAACTCGTGGAGTAATAATCCTTAGTATCTATGGAAGTAAATTAGCTGTCAAACCTTCCTCCACAAGACTCAACAGACGACACCAACACTATGTCTTTGGGTAGGGGGTTTTATAACTTATCAGAATCACGTAGAGCTAGTTCTTGTTCTATTATGAATAGCTTTCCTAATAAGTATTGTTCGGCACTAAAATGAGTGAGGAATGAAGGCTATTATGAGTGACATGTGGCATCATGATACTATTGTGATTGTGGCGGCTTCTTGATGGACCCCTTAGTTATTGAGAAAGGTACTGTCTTAACACTACTTCAGCATCTCAAACCTGATAAGTCCAGTGGTCTCGATGATATTCATCCTAGGATTATGAAAGCCATATCGGATGTAATTGCTGAACCTATAGCCGTACCGTTTGATATGCCTCTGCGTCAGTCCAGGCTGCTAAGAGACTGGAAAGATACAACAATTAGTCCGGCGTATAAGGCGAGGAATAGAGATTTAGTCAGTAACTATAGACCCGTTAGTCTAACCGGTGCAGTTGTAAAAGTAATAGAAAAAATTATTCGGATGGCTATTATAAACTGTGTGGAAGGGTATAATCTTTTGTCCAGGAAACATCATGGTTTTCAGAAAGGCCTATCATGTTTGACAAATCTTCTCATCCCAAGAGAAGATTGGGCCGCGGCGAAAGATCGAAATATTCCTGTAGATGTGATTTTCATGGATCTAAGTAGAGTTCTTGATAAGGTCTTCCATTTAGGTCTTAGGTTAAAAAATGGAAAGTTTTGGAATCCGTTGTATGGTCATAAACTGGGTAAGTGACTTTCTCTATGACAGGAAGCAAAGGGTAAGGGTAAATGGAGCTTTCTCATCGAGGAAAATTGTAAAAATTGGAGTTCCCCAGGACGAAATCCTCGGTCCTCTTCTATTTTTACTTTATGTGAATGAATTACCAACCTTAGCAAAGCCATCCGTTCTACTCTTCGCCGATGACATAAAAATTAGGCGACCCTTACACAGTACGTCAGATAGAATAGTACTACAGAATGTTCTGAACTCATTTGTGGCATGAATGAACGGATAGTCACTAGAAGTGAATTTTAGTAGGAGTATGGTGGTGCAATTAAATAACTGTGATGATTCGTATCACTACACAATATGTCGATTCGTATTAGTCAAAGTAATAAACTACAAAGATTTAGAAGTCATGGTAAGCAGTGATCTTAAAACCACTAGTAACTGTAAGATTGCTGGTGCAAAAGACTGTAGAGTATTGTGGGTTTTTCGTAGGTCTTTTCAGCATTTGAATGAAAAAATGTTTGGATTATTTTACCCGACTTTCAAGCAGCGAGTCCTTGTTTCAAGCATTAGGCGGATACGCTGGAACGAGTTCAATGAAGAAGGAATAAAATGGTAAAAGGTCTACCAGGCCTACATTATGAAGATAGGCTGAGATACCTTAACTTATTTCAGTAGAAAAATGTCGGGTGCTGTGTTAAGTTGGAACAATTACGGTGTTTATTGACTTCTTCCTTTATATTTTTTCTTACACGATAAATTCACGAGCTACCGAGACTTCGTCAGTTTCCGCACTAGATCAGTATCTCTGTAGCGGAAAGAACGCGCTGAAAATCCCTTCAGAGCATTTTATTGGACGGTAGTGGTAATTATTTTCTTTTTCTCCCTATCTTGTATTTTTACATTTATTCAGGTCCCTTATAACCGTACCGTATGTTCTTCAGCGCTCGTATGAGTTTTTATCATGTGGCTTTGGCTAAAGACTGGTACTTTTTACATACAAGTGGCAAATAGGAGACCGATCACCGCGTAAGGGTAAGTGACATATTTATCTTAACGCGGATTTACTCAAGCCTATTCACTGGTTTTACGTTATTGTAGATGTTTTTATGCCAATCGTTGGTAAAGACCCACTTCAACACCATGATCTACTCAACGACACGTGAAAACGGAGGTTAATAAATGGAAATACTAATGAATCTGTTTGCGCAACTTTATTTTGTGATTGTAGGTTGTGCCCAGTCACTGTCAATCATATAATCGATTTATACTTCCAACAAATACTCGATAACTACTCACAATTGCTTGATCACTGGGTAGTGATCAATATAATGTGTGTCAAGTCCTTAATAGTGCAGATCGAATGCTATCGACCAAGTTGCAATGTGGCCACTAGTTTAGGTGACTCGATACTGCGGTCCGGATAGCTCAGTGATAACGTCTCTGACCGTGAAGCTGCGTTTCACGGGATCGGATCCGTCAGGGCAGCACCAGTTTCCTCAAGATTACAGGTACACCTTGCTGACGAGTGCCAAGTAGCACGAAACCCATGTCTAGAGTTTCCTGTCGACTACCTTCAACCACCATCCAAACCCGATAAATACCCCGAGATATTCCAAACGCGACTGAGATTGCCAAGCAATGCTATATAACACATCACGATTTCAGGACCACCTGTATTCTCGAAAGCGCGACGACTAGCGCTCGTAAAGCTGAGACTGGCTAAATACGAATTCACTCACATGGTAGACGTAGGAATCATTCGGCCATTAAACAGCCCATGGGCATCTCCCTTGCATATGGTGCCCCAAAATCAGAGCAACGACTGGCATCCAAGTGGTGACCGTCGGCGATTGAATGCGGAAACCATTTCTCTTCTCGTTATATCAGTATTCTGTTAGATATATCTTTGAGCCTCTTCGCTTCTGACTTCGAATTCCACTGGTTTAGCGCGTTTTGACTATAAAGCGTGTTACTGATTAATGTGTTGTCGAACTCCGGATACTTGTGGCATCTTTCGGGGTAAGGAACTAAAACCATCAAACTTAGATTATTTTCTGACCGGTCATTATTTTGTATTTGGAAATATCACTGTCCGCGCAGAAATGCGGGAGCGGCGACTGTGGCACAGTCATACGTAACGTGGCCATGAATGAGATGTTTCGGAGTGACGAGGACACCCATTACCTCACCTACATCAAGGCAGACAATCTTGAGACAATCGTCTTCGCTTGCCACTTGAATTGCCGCATTATTATGCTTTTGTATTCCAGTCAACAAACTTTTCACTTAGTAATATAATAGTCGCTGATATCCAGAAATCATACTGCTCTGGGACAAACCCTCTTACTCGAATTACAGAATATACAAATCCACAAGTAACCATCAAGATAAGATTAGTGTATTCGAATGGTTAGACTACTACCCATTTTACATTGCTTAATAAATGGAACCATACGGAAACAATAAGAGGCGTGAGCAAAGAAATCAAGTAGTTTATACAACCCTGGATTCAGATATTGGATTTTGGATGGCTGGTATTGGAAATTGGCTCAGTAAGGTTGCTACGCTTGTTTTGGTGTTGGCGGGTTTCTAGGTTCGATTACTTGATTGTCTTAATCTGAGGCCTGTGTCATTGCTGGTTGTTATCTCTAGCTTTCCGTAGTAAGTGTAAGCACGCTGTTTGCGCTCGATGGGTCGTCGACTTACATTTCCTTTTGTATTTTTCACTTAAGCTACTTTGTGTGCCTATGTTGTACTCAACGTACCTTATTGCTGGACACAGAGCGTTACAGTTGTATGACCAAAGTACATGGTATAGTAATGGTTATCTCCGTCTAGCTCCATACTTCATATTATTCTGACATCCTTTCCTATGTATTCGTATTAAGATAATTGTTATGTACATTTTCGCCCAGAACTTACTTGGAATCTGATTAGACTTTACAGGAGCGAATCTTTTCGAGTCTCAGTTTTCTCATTTTAACTGACATTATCACAAGAATATGGAGCTTGTGGTAAATGTCATAAATATCTCTTCCTATTTGCCGAGAGTTATATAAGAATATATTTTTACTGTACAAGGTTCTAAGCAAAATATCAAAACTTTCTGCAGTTGTTGCAACTATACTGGCTAGTACATTTTCCTAGCTTACGTAAAGAGGTAAGCAGCATTAGAAAACATATGTCAGCAGGATGTTTAGGCTGAAAATAAAAGCGATAGGTGGGGAATTGTACGATTAAGTGATATTGTATACCTTTATTTCTTCACATTCAGCCTCATCTCATTCTGTACTTTTTACTTCTAGTGAATCCTTTGTTCACCCCTACGTCTTATTTTTATCACCTCGTCCTCGTCGCTATTCTCTTGATGCTCATATTAAATCCCTTGTCCGATTGTTCTGTACTCGGAATGTGGTGTTCTTTAGGAGACACAAGTATGCAGTTCAATGGTGGACAGTTGAATGTCATAAATGTGGTTTTATAACATCCTCGTTATCTAACACAACAAACAATTAATGGGAACCTCAAACCCTGGACATCTTAAAAATTTTCATTGGATCCCAAATTGATATTGAATACTACCAAACTTTCCTTGGGTGGATTCGACGTATATTTCACTTATGTTTCTCAATGCTATTTGAACTTGTGTATTTCTTTGTCTGCCTATAAGCATGTTTTTATTAGATAAAATCGTTTGCAACAATGTTTAAATTGGGTGAAAACATCAAGTGTTCACTCGAGAAACATCTGGTTAACTATCGCTGCTGACGATTATTTTGAAATTTCATAATCCATCCTCGAGTAAACTAAGTATTGTCAACATTTGAGAGTTTTCATATAAGCTCTACATAGGGCATTTATTTTTTTGCTGAAGTTAATAATACCAACTAATTCATCGTCTAGAGTTACCGCATACTCGATGTGATGTGTGGGGTTAAGCCGACGACGATTAAACCAAAATTCCATTGCAATGGGTTGCGTAGTTGTATTTAGTTGAAAACACTCATTTCTAGTATCTTAACAACTCAGTCATCCACAACGTTGGACCATTCACATATATACACCAGTCTGTCGCCATTCCTTATATCTTAATAACTGCCCTAGAAACAGGACTGAATGTAATACTTTATCTACCTTCATGCCAATCCTGAAGCAATTTTGTTAGCTGTGTAACTTCGTTAGTTGGTCGAAATTAATCTAAAAACACCCCATGACTTGTTGCTGAAAACTGGTTTAAGAGATGTTTCCAAAACCATAATATTCTCGCCCCTTGTCTTTTACTCTGTTATCATCCGTAAGTGCAGTATATGCTTGGCCGGTCGAAAGGCCAAATACCTCTAAAATACTAACAGAAACCTTCAGTTTTACTCACTTTTTGGTGAATCGTTAAAATAGTCAAACAGATGATGTGTCTGGGTAGTTGTATGTGCTGGTAGTGGTGTGTCAGAATAGATCAATCTACGTAGTGAAAATTGGGGGAGCTCATGTCAATCAGGGCCATTTTCGGCGCCGTTGTGATTCTATTCTGGCAATAAAAGATCGGGTTTACAAGCTCTTCCAAGCTGAAGGTATTTAGACTCCCTGGTTGTGATCACTGCTTCTTTCGAATTCCTCACATCCAGTAACAACATTATATCAATAATGAGGATATTTGGCAGAGTATGTGTAGTCTCAGTAACGATATTTCAATTATTGTTACAATCGTAAAACGTTGACTTTTGTGGCTTAGAGTTGTGTTACCAATATTCTCCTAGCGACTTACATATTGTACTTATTTTCCAACGTTAACACTGGGTTAAGAAATGGAGAGGTGACCAGTTTGTAACATTACACCGTGGTTTAAAGGACAGTTCTTAAACTGTGCATTCTATCAAAAGCTTATTTTTGTAACCCTTCTTTTTTAATTCCACATTACTACCACTTCATTTGTTTGGCTCATTTTAGTGCTATATGGTACCAGAATTTACATGTTACAAAGAAATACAAATCTAGCATAAGTAAAACCTTAACTAAAGCGTTTATGAATGATTTTTTAAAACTCATAAACACGCACTTCACCATAGATCTGTGCTTTTGTATCCATTGTTCCAAACATAGTGTTGTAATAATTCAAGGTATAGATTTCATACCACGTATATTACTAAGGATTCCTCACTGTCAATAGAGTGATGTTGATATGCTAATCAAAAATGTTCTAGAAATACCTCAAATAATGAAACTTGATTCCTTATTATCCTAATTTTGTGCAGTATATTTTCGTTATTATTTTTTCGTGATTGAGAGTATTTAACACGTTGGTGCATTAGGCTAATATATTTGCAACTATGACAAACAAACCACTCCTGTCCTTTTTTTCTTGGCGAACTGTAGAGAAGTTTATCTTCGTAATTAAGGCTTTTTGGCGATGACCCTATTAGGACTAAAAATACATTTAAGATGATTGGTTAAGTGCTAGTTATAATAATTAAGATTTTTGAGTAGTTGTCACCTAACGCAATCATAAGAAAAATTCACAACCATCTGAGACTGAGTACCGCCATGACGTTAAGATGGCAAAATCGGCATCCAGTCATTAGTCTTATATATATTTAATAATTAACAGCATTGCTTATGTTCAGTAGAACTTATTTTGGAAAGTCTGAATAATTTTGTTCATTATTATTTTAGTAGAGAAATGTCCGGTCCCACAAAATTAGGTAAGCGTATTGAGAACTTTTTTTAGATTTTTTGCATCATATGAGTGAAAACAAAGTTTTTATGTTTGGATTTTATTGAGTATTTAATAAATTCCCTTTCACTCATGTACTGCTGGTGGTTAAGTATTCAGGGAAAATGTATTTTTAAATTTTTGGTCACTGGTCCATTCAGGAAACGCGGTTATCTCAAGTGCTACTAGAGTTATATGATAGATTATCATTCGCTTATTGCTAATACGATTAAACAACACATTTTTATGAGCCATCTGAAGGGAAAATGGAGCTATTTTCGGTCTTGACAGCCTGTAAGGATGACAGGGGAGTCTAAAGAACAATCACTTAAGGTTGGTCACGCAGAATTTTTATGAAGAGTTCTTAATGTTCGGAACTCCTAGAGGCAGAATGGTTTTTTGTGGTCTGGAATATTTATCTGCCGTATAGTGTTCAGTTATCTCACTGACCGTAAAGTAACTCCTTGTTATGTTTTTCGCCATTTAGTATTTCTCGGACACGTAAGTTAGAACAAGAATTGAGAGAGATCGACAGAAATTCCAATAAATCCAAACGAAGCAACAAAGGATACTTCATTGGTGGATAGATTCTAAGTTTGTTAGCTTTTGTTATTCAAACTAATATACTGTAATCCATATTGTACACATGTTTTTGCATTTTGGTCGCCTGCATTCCTGTTCTTATCACTTTCCATTTCATCAGTGAAAGTAAGTTAATAGTCTGACTTGTTTTTTGGTGAATTAATCACTTACAAAATCAATCATATTACGCCAGCTTTAAGACTACTCATGTCTGATTATTTCCACTAACTTTTAACACTAGGAAAAGAAATAGCAATATAGTGTAGTTGAACCTCATAGTTAGTGTTGTATCAATAACTTTCTCCCTAGTGTTTTTTTCGTTTGGTTCGGATTGTTAAAATGTTGGTCCTTTTCCAAAGATGACATAAACTTTAGCAATCTAGTCCCTACTATCAAAGGAACCCCACTTTTGTCTTGTATTACGTCCATCGGATCACATTGTTTGTATTTTTCGATTACCTTTGTTGGGACCGTATATCCCCAAAATTCATATTTGTAATTTTATCATATCGATTAACTTATCGATTAAATGTTTAAATATTTGAATGGAAGTCAAATGATGAACTTATCGATTAAATATTTGAATGCCTGTCGATTGATGAACTTAATGAGTCATGTTTAAAAAAAATTTTACTATGACAATATCGAATATATATTTATATATATATATATACGTTTTAAATTGTGTTTGAGTGCTTGCTTGCTTGCTTGCTCGCTCGCTCGCTTTCTGGCTGTTTGCAGAATATATTTCCCATACCAAGCTTGGACTTCTTTTAGATAGCGGGGCTGGGACGCGTCAATAGTTAGATTACTGGTCTTTGGTCACTGAGTCTTGTTCTCGTTCGCAGATTAAGTGAACTCGTGAAGCTTTAAACTAACAACCTTCCACTGATTACACATCTTTTCTTGTGGTTCTTTTTAGTTCAATACTTTTTAGCTACCTTATGGTTGGACATTGATTATTTCAACTGCTAAACCACTCGCTCCACAGATATTGGGTTGCGTTTAGCTTGTTTTCACCTATTTGTCGTTAAATTACTACTGATAATTTCATAGGTAAAAAGTAAACTAATGTATATTGCTATTTAAAATCTGATGTTTTCATAAATTATGACATAACTATCACTTGAAATTCTTATTACTTATAATTAAATGAAGATACATGAATTTTCTCTGGAATTTTTCTTAACTTAGATGTTATAAATTATATTAAGTCTATGAAAATTGAAATCAAGTCATTGTCAGCACGAATAAATTATCTTACACGTTATGTAGTACAACAGAGGCACCAGCTAAGTTCTGCAGTAAGTTAGTTTGCTGTAGTAATACTGTTTCATCTCTATATCTTTTTTCACATATCATGTTTATAGCGTTAAAACTCATTTTTAATGTACATGATGCAACGCACTGGTTACTTAAAACTTTATTATCAATACGTTATGAGCAGCATTTTTTGTATGAAGAACTAGTACTTCTTATCATTAGTGAATGAAAGTAAATGAATAGTTCATTTGGCTGGAATCCGGATGTTCGAGAAACTAAATCTCATTTTTAGATTGTATGTATGTGTTTGTGCTTAACCACTCTGAGTTTTACTCTATTTGCTAAGTTACGGATTTTTATGAGGAATCTTGGAGATTGTCTAATATATGTAGACAATACTTTTATAAAATAAGGAAAACTTAACAATATACATTAAAAATCATTCCTAACAATCGACATTTTATAGTTTAAAATGTGATCCCATAAAAGTAAGTTAATCTTGTAAAGTCTTACGCAATAGATACTTTAACATTTTCCGTAATGAGGATGACAAATAGTGGGGCACTGATAAATTTATCTTGTGTTGTTGAATATATATATATATATATATATATATATATATATATATATATATATAGTGTAGATTGTTTACATTAATTTGAATTAAAAAACCTGTGCTGTATTTCACCGTACTTAACAAAAACCTTATGTTGGTAATGAGGTACTGACTTTTGGTGATTAATCTCCGAAAATCATTGTGGAACGACTTGCCAATAAGGCTGATTACTTCTTACTGCAACTAATTTATCATGTACAGGTTTCTGTAGTTGGCTATGAATCACTTTTTGTGAGGTTAAGTGATCTGCCAGGCTGGTCAGATCGAAGTAGATGGAATGGGGTTTGAGCTTGTTACTTACTGATTGAAATCTAAATGTTTCCAATTACTGACCCACCACTTTCTTTTTGTGGCTCCAGTTTGCATCAGTAAGTTCAAGTTACTTTAATTTTTGAGTAGATCATAGTTCATTACCTCTTTATGTTGTATTGAAATCTCTATTGCAAGTAGATAGAGTGTTCTCGAATTGATAACTTTTTAATTATTGTTTATATTCATTACAACGATGACATTTTTATTCCAGTTGAAAAAGATTGCATCTCTGGAACAGTCTTCCAAACATTCGTTGAATCGATCAATAGGTGTATCTCATTCACCTCAATCTAAACGTTCTGTAGGATGTCAGATTTTTCCAGGAACAAACCCTCTTGTTTCTGTATCCCCTGATGTGAATGAAGTATCTTCAAATAGTGAATCGTTTGAAGACTTGCATAAATCTCTTCAACCACCCGATAGTATAAACTTACCAATATGTTGTAATAAACCTCAAAAGCGGTCAAGCCCACTGGCTCAATCACCTTCATCCTCAAAGTATACAGATTTGTTTTCCGTGTTGATAGCTTTTTGAATACTTAAATAATGTAAATTTTGCTATAATATTTTTCCTACTGCAAAATATGCAGTCAGATGTTATTGCGATCATATAATTTTGTGGATTCTATGGTCAATCAATATTCCATGGTGGGATTTATTAGTGAACATATGTCTGATAATATTTCTATGTTCTCAACTTTATACTGAGAGAAGAATTTTAATTTGCAAAATTTGAGTCAATTACTTCACTGACTATGGTGACTAAGAGGGCTTTTTTTACGTATTCTACCTAATCCCCTATCGTTTTTCACTATAGTGTCTAATATAAAAGTAGACTGGAAAAGAGTTAAGACTAGCCATACAAAGACATTGAATCAGTCCATCAAACTATAGTGTTACTCTGAATCGTGCAAGGAAGCATTGCAATAGTCAATATTTTGAAACCTCGGCTGCACTAGTTCAAATACACTCATTTTTAATCCTGTAAATCTTGGACATAAAACTGTTTCATAGTTTTTATTCTTTGACATATTTCTTCTAACCCTGTTCTTCTTAATTTTCGCTTCCCTTAACATTTAGTGTTATTATTTCTACCTATGCATCACTTCTCAAACTTAGTGTACAACAAGAATAATGCTGTATAGTCTCTAGTTTTTCTTCTAAATTTAGGGCCATAAATACTGACCAGTTTTCATTATATTCGGCATATGTGACTCTATTAATCGACTTAAACTGCAAACGATAAACGCAATGGTGGCTTAATGTTTAAGGTGTTCAACTTTATACTATCAGGCCTCCTGCTTCAACTCCACTGTCTCTGGAAGATCGAGTAGTGTCCTTAATTTTCACGTAAACAATACGACTTTAAACCAAGCTAATGAATTTATACTTAATGAATAAGCTACATTAAGTTGTGGTATTTTTATTGTTTTATATATATGTACAATGAAATAGTTAACATTTTATATCTTTCAGTGAATCTGTAGTTTTGCCGAAAAAGAAAAAGAGACGTTCTTTAATTATTCCAACTCAACTTCGCAAAATAAAGAAAATTACTCAATCCCCACATTCATGTCCAAAGACTCCTGAACAAAATATCAATTCTCCTAAAAAGCGACATCGACGAAGATCACAAAGGTATGTTGTTAGAAATTCATTGAGACTTCATATGAAGACTTGTCAACTCTATAATTTATTACAGATTTCTTAATCAATTTTCAGGGGGGACTGGGTAACTGTTATTGTGGGGCTGACAAACCTTTCTGAAAGTAAAATACAAGTTCAATTGTCTCAATACTGTTTTTGTCATTAAATCTAGATAAAAAATATCAATTGAACACTTCATACATTATTCTTTCCGTATATTTTTCTAAGGTTCTGTTTATTCATAAAGCCAATAAAAATCATCCCATTGAAAATCTGTGTATAATGCCTTTTGACACATTGCTGTAAAATATTGATATATGTCACAAAGTAACTTTCATTACACAATGTAAACTGCTCAGGAAATGTTATCTAGATTAAAATAATGTGGTTATCAACTAACTGTTTCATTTGTTTGATTAGTCAGTTACCGAACTCAAGGAAATGGATTTAAAAAACCCTTACAGTCTAGATAGTCTAAGTATGTTTAACTGATTAGATGATACTTACAGGCATAAATTAGTTTAGAAGAAATCTAAGAGTTTCCAAACCAAGATATGACACGAGTTCATGAAGTCATTGACTGTTATTCTGAGCTACATTGGTTAATGCGGACTGTGGTTGGTGTCCACTTGATTATGGTGACCACTATTAGGAGACATGACTTGAAATCAGTCGGCTGGAGTTATGTCATAATCAATTTTTGTCTGTTCATAGATCTTATGTTACCAAATTACTTTGTACTTTTTATTCTCATTATTCATCCTCGAATCATATTCTCGATTATTTATTTTTATTGTTGAAAATCCTACAACTATTCATACTACTTTGTTATTCATCGTGACCAGTTTATTTTAGTGTGTTAATGTGGTGTGGCCAATCGGGTCGATGCATATTTTTATGGGGCTTCAAGTTATTTATTACTGATAGACAGAGAATACTTTGTCTGGCCAATTGAAAATTATCTTGTAATTTACCATTTACTTGGCACTATGTATACTGACAAAAAAATCACAAGTTACAAAGTATTTTATTTGGAGAAATGATTCCCGTACTTATTATCAAATACATTGAACAAGAAGTTGACTACTGGTAACTTAAAGCAATGTAGAGACGATCCGCACAGGATGCATGTACGCCAAGAAGATACCGATCGGTTGTAGTTCCAAACACCAATGGGAAGATTAAAACAACCAATACAAACGAGTTGAACTTCACCCCATTACACAAGCTAGTGGCTATCTGAACTCAGTAGTTAAGTGGAAAACGCGATGGTGCTTGAGAATGGCACTGGGTTCGAGTCCCGGAATGAACGTCAACTCTGGGATGCAGGCACATTCAGCTGACGTTTCCGACATTGGACGAAACGCACTTCCCGGATTCCACTACTAATCATAATCCATATCTAATTTGGCTCATATCAACAGATAATCACTTCATGTCCCGGTCCCATATCTTCATTTGGTCGCCTCTATCTTCTTACAAACTGCTTCTATTCTAGTCAGGGTTATTCAGTAATGTATGCTTTTGGCTAGACATATATACCACAGGTTCCAAACTGTTTGCTTACTTTCAGCATATCCACTTAAAGATCTCACCATACTCGAGCAATCCTTTAAAAATCCTTTCATTCAGATTCTTGTTATGTTATCTCTAGGCTAACTTTCACAAACGTGGATAGTAATCGTATATACACCTATGATACAAGCAGCCTATGTTAGCAATTGGACAAATGGATTTTTTGTATTCGTACCGAAACTTCATTAAAGACGTCACTGTTTAGTCGTTAGGTTCAATTACAATGATAAGTACGTTCTCAGGCTCTTTACTTCCGAAATTAATTTTGGCAAACGATCAGTGTGAAAATGTGTTTCTTTTTTGTTTTGTAGGCATTTAGTGAAATAACACTGTGATATATGTATACGTCACTTGGTCACTGAATATATTTTTTCCACTACAATGTTTCAACTGTTGAGATGAACTGTTATTAATAAATTATTCTTTCATCAATACACTTTGGATATTTGTTGTAAAGATCTCTCTCTCTATATATATATATTAATTCAAATTAAGGGATCACAATATATATTTTTGAAAAACTCACCACTGATGTGTGTCTTTTGATATTAATATCTATTGCATGATGTGATCTATCGACTAATGTTTATTCTGAGATAGTGATAAAAATTTGTAGCTCAGGGGAATGATTTTGGTGAAGCTTCGTGCTCTGATCTGAGTGGTTTAATCATGATTTCATTGTTCTTCTGGACAACATCAGCGCAATCTTTAGATAGAAGTAAACTATTTGAATACCTCTACATATTTCTGACAGTTTTTTCTTTTGACCTTCATCCGGCTTGGTTGTTAGCGACCCTTGTTTGTACTGGTGATATTTTCTTGACGGATTATGGAGAGTTAAAAAATTTCATTTATACATGTTTACTACAAATGTTTATCTCATCTACCGAGACATAAATAATAGGCCAGGTTCAAGTATAAGTCATCCACATTTCATTTTATCTATACATTTAAATTTCCTGCACTCACAATAACTTGCAATCCTTAAACCAAACAATAGAAAAATACAAACTCATACAAATAAAATGCATACCTTTGACGAAATGTAGCGGCTGTCTGGACTCAGTGGAAAACAGGTTGGTATTTCAAGTTAAAGGTCCTCGATGTGAGCGTTAACGCTGGGGTGCAGGGATATCCAACTGGCAAGTCCCAATTAGAATGAAACACATGAATATTGGTACAAGAGAGCGCCAATATATATGCGTCATTATTAATACTATTAGAATGAAACACGTGTACTGAATTTCATTGTTAGCTAGTAATCAACAGGAATACTACTTACTGGGGTGGATTATAAAAAGTGCTTCAATATCAAGATGGTTTTAGCCACGATCTGTCGTTAACCAATAAAAAAGTTTTGATTGTTTTTTGAATTAGTAATCCGTTTAAGTATTAGGGGTTGGTGCGAAATCTCCCAATCTTGATCACGTATATTTTCAACCATTATTTGCCCATATTGGTTTTCATCCACTCTAGGTGTTTTTCAAATTATAATTAGTGTTAAATACTAGTAACCAATTCTGACATATACAGCGGGAGTGAAGTATAAATCCTTTTTTACATGGTATGAGAGTAACTTTACTAGTGTTAAACAGTAAGTCGACGTACTGTCCCTATATTTACATGTTATCTACTCCCTAGGTAACAACACTGAAATATTTGTCGAAAGACAAATATACTCTCTATAACATGATCGTTATTACAAAATATAAGACGATCATACTATTCAATTACAGGTAATTTCAAACTGTTATTCATCTTAAAGTCACTAAGCCGACAGGTAGTAGAAATATATTTAAGGAATAAAAGTTAACAGTTAAAGTTTTCTATCTGTACCAATTTTAAGTGACGTAAACATATGTCACTTTCTGTTATTGTGTGCGTGGTCAGTTAGAATATAGATTTGATAGATTAATTACGTAAAATAGAATCGGTCGAAATGTGTCACAAAACAATCCATAGTTTGTCGCTTTATAATTGTAGTACTTTAATATATCATGAAACTGTGTTTCATTAATCAACTCAGTCGGATTTTCACTACAACTTATGGATAAAGTGTCTTTTTACCCATCAGCAAGACTTAGTAATTACGTGTTAGTTTTTCAGTTTGCCTTATCATATATACCTTTAACTCCCAGAAATATATAAATATTCGAAAATCTGGTACAATGTGATCAGGAATTTTAGTTATGGTTGAGGTATCCTGTGGTTAGAGAAACGTACTCTTTAAGTTGATTGATAATTGAAATATCTTAATAAAATTTCAAGACGATTTGGATCACAAAATCCCATCACCTAGAGAACTGTTACAAAAAGCCACAAAGCACTGGAAAACTATTTTTTATGGTTTCGGAACTCTTTAACACTCTTCATCTATGATCCTGTACAGGATTGAACTTAAACCTGATAAGAAACAGCATTCAACTGTGTATTTCATACTTCACATCACAGACTAGTCAACCGTTAAAAACTAGGAATTACTGAGTAGCTTTCTAATCCTAGCATAAGATTCCTCGCTAAGGATCAAACTTGTGATCGTCAGGTTTTGTGACGAAACTTCGAAATGTTAATGTTCAATCATTTATGCTTCTAACTTTAATCACTATTAGTTATCAGGTACAAATATTTTGATGCAGGTAATTCTTCTTAGTAAACAAATTAAATTCTTAATGTTAGATAGGGAAAAAAGTACAGTTTGACGTAGTGTAATTTTGTTTCTCTTTATTTGATGATAATCTTTAATTTTCTTCATTTTAAATTCATTGATAATTTCAGTACTATTTTATTTGAAAACTGTTCATCTTAATGGATTCATCATCATCTAAAACACAAGGTGTGCATTTTGTTGTTTGTTTGAAATTATTTTCTAATTCTTTATCATAATTGTCGAGTTTTTTTGTGTGTAGAGTATGATCAGTTCCCATTTAAAGCACTATATACTTTGCATTTAACTCACGTAACATTACTTCTTAACGAAAGCTTAATCAGTATTTAGTAAACGGATCATTCGTACTTTCTACATCGTGAATTTACTTCAAATAATCAATATATAATTGATTTGTTAAGATTGTTGTTCAATTTGAAGTCCTTACTTCAGATTTATATCAGTTTATTATATCTCAGTCAGTAACAACGTTGAACTTCGTACGTACGTACATCAGTTCGAGTTGCCACACCACATTAGCACAGAGATGCACTTGTCGATTTAAATCCCGTAGTGGTAGAGGTAATAAGAGTATAAGCAGTAATCGGGAAGATTAGGGTTTGGAGATGTTATTTAAAGAGTATAATCCAGTGAAAGAAATTTGGAAAGAGGAAAAAAAAGGGACATGAAGAATTCAGAAGATTAGAATTTGGGAGAACACAGAGAGTGGATGCACCTGGGCCATTGCAAACGATTTTGAGCCATGTCATTCAGGGTCTCTAACCATCGGTTGCTGTCATCTCGCGGTCCCCAACCAGGTAGTCTACACCTACCAACATGACTCAGTTCACTTGTCAGTGATTTCATGAACTTGTGCCATGTTCATTATTATGTTTATTATATCTACGGAAACTGGTATTTAAAAGAGAATGGGTACTGAGATGTATATGACCCAAATAAGAAAATAAAAATCTGATGACATGTGAAGATTTTATTTGAGGTGATTTTTGTGAGAAATATAATGGCTGTATTTTGATTGCATATGTGGTAATATAAGACGTAAGTCGAATCAGATATGGTAGCTTTGATAATTGGTCCACGTTTGTTGGATGGTAAGATTTTCTTTTCCATAAAGGGCAGTATGATTGAGCAATATATGTGGAGAGATTTAGCTACTCGCTTTTCTTTATAGTTGGAGCAGCCCTTTTGGATTATTTTGTTATTTTTAATACCCATTTGATGGTTACTGAAGATAGCATATACTACTATTGCCGATTTAATCCTATGTTTGTCCATGATTTTTCTGATTGGTTAATAAATCGAATCGATTTCGATTTATTGATTGATTGCTAATTGATCGGAGTGTCGAGCTTCTAAAAATTCTCTGGTGTTCTTAATGTTCTCTATCCAAAATATCGACATGAACATGTGTCCATAATGGTCCACATGGATTGGTATAAGCAAAGAAACATGGTGTTTGGCCGATAATTGCTGTTCATGCAGGAGAAAATGAAGGAGGCTCCCACCTTGTTCGATGTAGTATTTTTCAAAATCGAAATAGTTTATTTTATATTTGATGTTCAGTTTTTCTTCATTTGTTATTTTATCCTTGGGTTTGCGTAAGATTGGTTGAAGTGATATTGGTGGTTTATGTTCTGGTTTCGAACAAGTGTAATACATCAACTAGCGGTCAAACACTATGATGTTTCTTTGCTTATACCAATCCATGTGGCCCATTATGGACACATGTTCATGTCGATATTTTGGATAGAGAACATTAAGAACACCAGAGAATTTTTAGAAGCTCGACACTCCGATCAATTAGCAATCAATCAATAAATCGAAATCGATTCGATTTATTAACCAATCAGAAAAATCATGGACAAACATAGGATCAGTAATCAAGTCGAATGGGAGAGATAATCAAAATAAAGATGCAGGCAGTGACAGGTTGAAGGCAAACAATAACCAATCGAGATCAATATTGATAAGACAAGCTGTTAGTCATGTGTGAATAAATTTCGAATACTTCACTTTTATTTGAAGCTTGTGCTGATGATATTGTTCAGAAGAGCAATGAAAGCTCGTGAATAAACCGTCTTGATTAGACAACGAAACTACACAAGGAAACAGAACTTTTATAGTTGGCAACACTGACAAACGTAATACAACAGTAGTCATGGCTAAAAAGAATTATGAGGCAAAGTTTTTGAACTTCTATTCACAGGACCGTATCAAATGATTAATCCGAATAAATCTTCAAATAGTTAAAAAAGTCTAATCAGTGACAAGTCAACTTTTAAATGAACTCAAGCTATTCATCCCATCGTACTACCAGGAGGTCCGATTATTGACTTAGAATACGCATAGTCCTGTTTGGTGAAGACGGTGATAAAATACACTAAGCAACAATACCAGAATGTTTAGAATGCGCTTCTCTCCCTCTAAATGCAAGTTGTTGCTTCAGGACTGGTCAGCGTCAACACCTGAACTGAAGATAGGGAGTGAAGTAGTCAAACGTGTTGACAACTTCACTTATCTTGGAAGTTTGATAAGCCATAATAAGTTGGTGTCTGATAAAGTCTCAGCACGGTTTCGAAAAGCTCGTCTGGCTTTTGCCAACCTAGTATTTGATCTCAAATGTCTTGGAAATATTGCTCGCATCTGCTGGAATCACCGTGTAGGTAATAGTGAGGTTAGACACAGGGTATTAAGGAATGATGGTAAATCAGTTGATGAGGTTGTGAATCTTCATCGACTGAGATGGTTGGGCCACGTGTTACGTATGCCTGAACACCGATTACCACAACTCGCAATGCTGACTAGTGTTGGGCACGGTTGGAAGGAAGTTGGAAGCGGCCAAACCAAAACGTGGCATTAGTCCTTGAGCATCTAGTCTGAACCATTTTGGTAGATGCAGACTACTTGGTTGGGGTCCGCATGACTATCGTAGCTAATGGTTGGAGACTCAGAATCGATCACAATGGCGTAGGTGTATACACTCTTTGTCTTCTCTTAAACCATGAGATTATTTTATACCTTTCTTTCTACGAACTAATTCTTTCTCCTTGTATCATATCCTTATATGAAATGCTTTTTTACTATCATAGAAGTAACTGCTTCTATGAATTCGTTGTTCATCTTGTAGTGCTAATGAGGTGTGGCAACTTGAACCAATGCATACATGCCTAGTTCTACGTTGTAGCTGACTGACATCCCATCCTAGCACCGTTTTTGTAACCGGATAAGTATGTGTAGGTTTTCTGAAGTGACTCAACTTGACAATCAGTTTTCTTTCTTATCACAGCCGATGAGTGTTTTAAAAAATCAACGATCACTGACCAACCGTTTCGATTTATTAACACTATAAGTCGAAATTTATTCCTCCACTATCAACCAATAATTTATATTTAACTACTTTGTATCACTTAATTCATACCACTCATTTTTTATTATTCTATACTGAATTCGTTTTTAGTGTACATATAGCTGGATAACTTGTAAATGAATTAAACAGTTTGACAACTTGTATAAACTAAACTTAAATAGTTTCTACCCATTATTTTGTTCTATTGAAAAATATTTTTGTGTAATTATATTTTCTAGAAATACAAGAGACTTTAAAAATTCTTAAAAAGAATATCAATTCTATCACAAAACAGATTGATGAATTAAATTATCAACGTGAAAACTTACAAGTGCAATATGATCAAGTAATTTTTTTACTGTGTATTACTTTATCATGTTTATATTATTTTAATACTTTTCAAATACTTGTCGATTTAAACTAGTCAGACTGTAGTCGCCGAAATCGAATTCGGTGAAGTGGGGTTTTTGATGTTATTTAGTTAGAAGTAATCGAATGGAAAACTTGAACCTAGTTTGTATGTTAATTGGCAACTCGTCAACAAGCCGTACTGATCTCCCCTATGGGATTCAAACTGCTATCACTAAGTTTCCCAGTCTCATGAGTTATATGATATGGTCGAGTGATAACTTATCTCTAGACGGGATTGTTAATCGAAACCCGCGAATAAACGAAAATCTATTGCATCTGAAGAATACTTAACTGACTTAGTACTTGGTACTGGGATCCATAAATCACATGACACAATCAAGAGCGTGAAGACATTATACGAGGATTTATTTAACTCCCAAAATAAATCAAAATAATATCTGAATAAACCACTTTTTGCACTGGTTAATAACTTTTATTTACAGTCAGATTTGCATAAATTGAATTCAGTAGTGTTTTACATCAATTAATTAATGAATAATTTACTAAATAAATCATTAACCGTCTATGAACGATAGATATAGTTATATAATTTCTCCTTGTTAAAATATGATTAGATTTCATTGATAATTTGAAAAAAGAAATTAATGTTGTAGGCTTCTAACATTCCAATTGATCATTGTATCAAAACAAAAGACTAAATTATTATCTTAATGAATCAGTCTTTCATTGATAAAATGTGTTTTTATACCAAATGCTGGATACAGAAATAATATCATAAGTAATTGGAGGATATGAGTTTCGTAGATTACTCAAACACTTCTTCACTAATAAATTAAAAGTTATCTGTGTTAGGCACAATTTTTCCATGATATTACTTTTTGAACTTGTGATGTAAGGATTAAAATTAGAGTTGTTTCCAATTACTAAACTCCCAGTGGATTTCTGTGGTTGGGCACTTCACTCATAAAATTATTCAGTTCATCATTACTATATGTGGTGAGTTTATTTCTTACCTGTCAATTATTGATTAATCCTCTTTGTCAGTTAATTTATCTTTGGATCGAAATATACACTGTGGTTATTAAGCTAATTAACTTAACAGTATTGTTCCCAGTATTTAGTTCTAGACGTCTGAAAGTTTTTATCATGAAACTGTGCACAACTGTCAGTATATACCAGTTATTTATTATTATTAATTTAGGGGCTTAATGGTTAAAATGCTTGTATTTCGATCAGCGAGTGACAGGCTTGAATCTCACCCTATCTCTCAGTTTAAGCGACCGGATATAATCATTAGGCTCACAGAAACAGTGTGGTGCAAACTTTAGTACGAAAACCTGTATCTGGGAAAGGAGTTACACCTAATAAGCAACTTTGGGAAATTCATTAGAAAACGATCAGTATAATTTCCAAAATATCATTGTGAGTTATTATTAGTGGGTTTTATAGGCATAAAACTCCACCTGTAGCTCTTTCAGAGTTACTGCCGGTCCCAAGCCCGGTTAAAGGAGGAGGGCTGGGCATGGGGTTAGCGTCCCCATCCCGTAGAAAACTAACTCGCTAAAAAAACGCTTACCAGAAAAAAATTATTCAAACCATTTAAACTCTGCCTTGAAAGTTAAAAGGTCTTCATTTAGAAGAATTATGACGCTTCATGGTGAAAGCCGAGTTCCTTCGGAGGCCACAAGGCCGATGCCCCTTCTAACAACCAGAGCAAAAATTTTTATAGGTACATATCAGCAACAGCCTTTTGTGGGAGAGAACAAACCAGCTTCCAGCTGAATAGGAAATTAGGAAAAGACGATGGAAATGGATAGGACATACACTACGCAAATCGTCAAACTGCATCACGACACAAGCCCTAACTCGGAATCCTGAAGGAAGGCCAAAGAACACATTACGTCGGGAAATAAAAGCAGATATGGAAAGGATGAATAACAACTGGAAGGAGCTCGAAAGATTGCCCAGGACAGGGTTGGATGGAGAATGCTGGTGAGCGGCCTATGTTCCTTCACGAGGAGTAACAGGCGTAAGTAAGTAAGTTATAGGCTTAAACATAAAATAATTGGGATCATTAAATATGGAGTTTGGTCTTTGAGGGTCTAAGATTTCGTGATTTATTTGGACATATTCCAGTTAAAATTGTCGTAAGGACTTTAGATGAGTACATTTATTCAACGGATTTTGCTGCCAAGAATATAAATTTCACATAACTGTTGAATGTTCTTTCGATATCTGCCTCCGATTCTCGGCGCAATATGTGCTTCGGTCCGACACTTTCCCTTTTGCCTTGTGGATTTTAAGTTACAGCTCGTCTCATAATGCAGTTTGATGATTTCCGCAATGTGTCCTACCGTCCTCTAGTGTCTTTTTCTAATTTTCTCAACCGAAAGCTGGTTTGTTCTCTCCCACAGTAGGGTTTTCTGATGATATCTAGCCAACGGATATATAGTTTCTTGCGTAGACAACCTTCTATAAATACCTCTACAGTTTTGATGATGGTTGTAGTAGTTTTCCAACCCTTAGCTCCGTACAGTAGAGCCGTCTTGACATTTGTAATAAAAATTCTGATTTTTGTGTTGCCCGACAGTTGTTTTGAGTCCCATATGTTCTTCAATACTAGGAATGGTGTTCTTGATTTTATAGCATGTGCCTTCACACCTGCATCAAATACCCCTTGTTTATCAGTGATACTGCCTAAGCATGTAAAAGTTGCCACCTCTTCCGGAACTTCATCGAATGTTATTTGGTTTGTTCGACAAACTACTGAAATATAATTTCATTTCTATATCTGTTATTTCTCGAAGATATTTCAGCTCTTAACCCTAGTTTCCACATTGAACAGTTTTCTAAGAAGAGTTCATCTTATTCACAATATCGAATCACGAGACGATATATATCTGTAAACAATTTAAAGTATACATCGCGAACTGACTCAAGCTCAGCACCATTAAAAACAGGAGATAGTCATAATTTTTTCGTTCTATTATATTTTTCTTTATTGGTATTCATCTAAGATCTTATTATAAATCAAACTTAAAACTTTTAAGCTTTGTGGTGAAAGCGTCATTTTCAGGCCGCTGAGTTAGTGTCCACAGGTGTATATCTTCAATCAGTCAATCCATTATTAACTTTTGGTCACCCTGAAGACTGTGAAACAAAATTAACGATTTTATTATAGTTTTACATCATTAGCTGATTTCATCCAGATGACCATGAAGCACTGGGCAGCCGTTTCGTCTTAACAGGGGACTCCTCAACAAAGGTCGAGACCTGAGCATTAACAAGTATATCCAAATATTCAAAAGTTTTACAAACGGATATGATTTCTAATATTTTGTTCTATAGTTGATCACTACCTTGTTTACCAATCACGTTTGTATATAGTGTGATTTATATTCTCTTTTTTTTATTGTAACTCACAGTTAAGATCTCAATTAACTACAGCCCGTGTCCAAGAAATTTCAAGTTCTTTAGGTACATCATCTGAATACAATTCAGAATCCTTATTCCCATGGACTTCAGAAGTGAATCGAGTGAGAAAAGAAATTTTCCGAATTTCAGAATTTCGTCCTTTACAAATAACAGCAATTAACGCAGTTTTAGATGGTCGTGATGTAATCCTAGTTATGCCTACAGGTAGGTAGGTGGGTAGGCATGTTTTAAAACGTTATTTTTTTCAATGATAGCTTATAAATAAGTTTTCGATTATTAGGTGTATAATACTTTGCTAATGAAAAAAAATTCATATTCGTTTCGTAATAAAATAGTTTCCATCATAGATTGATATTAATTTAAAAATTCCCATAGAACAGTCAACAGCAGAGTCTACACCAGGTAATCATCGATCTTGATTACTTCTTCACCAGGTTGTACACAATTATAAAGTCAAAATTATTACAATTATTATTATTATTATTATTATTATTATTATTATTATTGTGTCATAATGGACTAAATGTTTAAATTGAATTAATCCATGTTACAAATTAGTAAATGGAATATCCCACGTCATTTGCACCCTACATACTACAAATTACTAACAAAACAAAACAACCTTTTCGGTGTTATTAAGAAAAGGTTATACATAAGGTGTAAGAAATAATTATTTGTTTTAATTAAGATGATGATCAGCTTAAATCAATAAGTTGAAATCGTATGTAACAACATACTTAGTACAAGCACCGTTGGATACCGGGCTCAGTGGTCTAGAGGTCAAGCGTTATCCTGTGAAACTGAATGTAATGGTTTGTTTTTCAGTTTAGCTAGAAAAAAGTCAGCGAAAATCGGACCTCAGGGAGACCTCATTGTTACTCTAAGATTGTTTGATGAGTTTGTTAGCAAATATCGTGCACTTATGGTTTTCGCACTCAAGACATTTCTATGATCCTTAGTCATACACTTATCTTTCTTATTTACGTGATATTCTTACTCAAAATTATACTTATTGCTGCCATATTATTGTGAATATTATTATTATTACCAATACTATTGTTATCATCACAATCTAATGAGCGAACGTTGTGTTAATTAAAATCCCACACCACTCGTACAGTATGGAAACAGTACATTAAATATACCATTTACACATCTTCCTTGAATTGTCTCTTACAAACTCTATCGTTCTTCCAACCCTGCTGCTACTTTGACTACTTTTGTTTTTATCTCTTCTCATTTTCCGCTTCTATCAGTAAAAATCCTATTTCCAATTACTGATAAATATTACTTATATCTGTTCGTATAAGTAGCACACCACACAACATCAGCTACGATGCAGTAATTCCTAATTTGTGTATAATATGTTGTTACATACGATTTCAACTTATTGATTTAAGCTGATCATCATCTTAATTAAAACAAATAATTATTTCTTACACCTTATGTATAACCTTTTCTTAATAACACCGAAAAGGTTGTTTTGTTTTGTTAGTAATTTGTAGTATGTAGGGTGCAAATGACGTGGGATATTCCATTTACTAATTTGTAACATGGATTAATTCAATTTAAACATTTAGTCTATCATAACACAGTAATAATGACAATAGTAATAATTTTGGATTTATAACTGTGTAGAGCTTGATAAAGAAATGATCGAAAACGATCATTCGCTCTAAGTCGATTTGTGACAAGGAGGTTTGTTTTTACTTTGAAGCAAGATTAATCGATCTATTTCAAAGTCAATTCATATATCCCAATTTTATTGCTTGTTTTAAAAATAAACAACCTGGACTCTCAATGGTAAGTGTAAGCACTTTTCAATGTGATATTTGAAGATACAGTAGTTTGATGTCACTGATGCTCTCAAGTATAGAGTAACGGTATCCCAGTAATTTTGCCTAAAAATTTAAAGTTTTATCCGGAATTCGGTAGAACGTTTTAAATCATTGTATTAATAAGGCATAAGTTTGATTGATCATCACCCGAAACTGTAACAGGAACATACATATAGATGACATCTGATTTTTTGTTGGTTCTTCGTTAAAAATGTAAAGCCTGTAGATGTAAATAACTCTTTCAAGTCATTTTCTTCCCTGATTATACGTTGCTCAGTTAAAAAATTGACAAAAGTCTTTAAATGATCGATAAATGTTTTCCTAGAACTTGTTCTTTTCAATATTTACACCTTTAATTTAATCAAAATCTGTGAATTAATTGTCTTCAAATACTATTCTTACCAATAAGCAGTCCCACACGCATTTATACATCGTTCTCATTACAGCTTTTTATTCATTTCTCTTTATATAATATTTAGGCGCAGGCAAAAGCTTGGTATATCAATTACCTGCATTACTTAATGTTAATGCTTTCAAAGTGAATGGACGATATCGTGGTTCATTAACGTTAGTTATAAGTCCATTGGTTTCTTTAATGGTTGATCAGTCGATTAACTTGACCAGATACAGTCTCGAACCAGATACAATAGCAGTTTTAGATGCGAATACACCATTACAAGAACAACGTCGAATTCTCTCATTACTTGCAGAAAAATCTGTTAGTTAATGAATTTTTTATTATTATTATTATTATTATTATAGTAGTAGTAGTAGTAGTAGTAGTAGTATTTGTCCACTAGGAATCTTGGTATCTGTATGTTTACCCCACGAAACTGAGTTGTACTGTTCGGGTCATGTAAAAGCCTGGTTGGTGTTTGATTATCATGAAACCCAATGTAAAATTACCCCCTTACGAGGTATATTTATAATTATGAATCATTATTGATATGGTTTAAAGTTTATTTAGTGCGAAAATTCAAAGCGCTTGTTCTTTTGTCAGACACTCGTTCACTATCTGAAACAATGTGACATTACTTCAAGTTTCAATACTTTTTAATAGATTGGGAAAATGAAAAGCACGATGAGTTGGATGTGAATCATACATTATTTCATATTTTAACACTTCCCTCAATAAGTTCACTTGTAATATCTGACACCCATCTTACAATCCAATATAACTGTCAAATGACTAACTTTGAATCCTTGTATTTTATTTCACGTTCTTTTTTAATGTTGGTCTGCTTCAGTAAGGATTTTCAAATTATTTTATTGTTACTGGTTGAAATACGTACACAATGCCAATCGATCGCTTAAAAATGTCGTTTCTGTATGTCTACTAATTACTCAATTAGTCATGATCAACATAATACCAAGCATGAGGGTCACCATCATAATCGTAAACAAGGTGATCTTAGGTGCTGTTAGAGGTATGGGGGTGGCTTTCACTTCCCGGTTGCGCACACCATGGAGGGATATTTCTTCAGGGGCCTGAAAAAGGAACAGGGTTAATGGTGGTGTTGGTGACCTTGGAGTTAGATCGCAGCACCGAAGGGATGACTCCTCGAGTTCGCTCACTTGCGTCCTTTTTACGGGACGTTTTGATATGTTAGTTTCGCGTTCCACAAAGCCTTATCTGTGGGGTCAGTTAAGGTGTTGCATTTTTTTAAGATTGACCTTTTCCTTCAGTTGTGAGAAAGAAGCATCGCTGCAGATACTGGTTGTTCGAGGGAAGTATCGTAATGCTGTCACACCCTTCTAGGATTCTGTTATATTATTCTGAATATTATTATAGTCGATTGAATATACGAAGTTGTACAAATTAATTACAGGCTATCCGCGTAAGCAATAACCAAGTTACATAAAGTTTGGAATCAGATAAAGCTTACTGTCGGTGGATTCATGGACTGATACCATGTGTTGATTTACCAACCCCTGACTTTTCAAATTACTTTCATGTTAATCAACATTCTGCATCATTTCACGTTACGTATTAATACGTAAAGGTACCAGTAGCCCCACTGGAAATTTCTCTAATAGGCAGTGACTTTTTATTCAATCAAAGTACTTCACTGTACAACTTATTTTTCCGATAATTGGTAATATCAATCAGTAACTGACTAATCATTTTCTCGAAGCTAGCACCGCTATACTCTCCCATCATTCCGTCAGTAGCATTCATCAATTAATTCGTATTTCGATTTAAAAAATAAACAGTATGGGAATTAGTGGTGCTTATAGTATTTTCACAGTTGAGTTCATGAGTTGATCTAAGCTAGGCCACCATTGAAAACATGGAAGTACTGGACGGCCGTTTCGTTTTAGTATGGGATTCCTAAGCAGTGCACATACACGACCCCGCTTGTGGGACTCGAACCCAAACCCTCGGTCTCTCACGTGAACGGTGAGACCGATTCGTGAATTCAGCTGTTAAAAATAAACATTTATTTATAAGTGTATATATTTGTTGTAACCTTTGTCTATTTTATGTCTTTTAGTTAAGCGTTGTTTATTGTCACTTAGATTATATGAAAATAAACAGCGATTTATCAGTAAAAGTTACAGTGAATGAATCAATTGATTAAAAGTTTGAATACCTAAATAAACCAACTATTAAGTATAACAGAGGAGTATCTAAAACAACTAGTCAATTTGTTTCTCAATCACTAGGATGTTACATTTAAACGTTGCCCTCCTAACTTACACATTAGAAAAAGTATCTTTAATATTCAAGTAGTAGACCAATTTATATTTGATTCGACCATTTAACTCAATGATGATCGTATGTAATAAATTGTATCTGATAAGCCTTGAGGATTGAACGCTATATTCGTTTCCTAAGCTATTCGGTAACTAGCTTTGGGGTTACCCAAAGCTAGAACTATACAGCGACCTGAACACAAGGGAGAAGACTCAAAGTATGTGAGAAGTAGTTTACTCCGAGGTTCATTTTAATGCAGAAAATACAGGGTTTTTATAATATTTTAAATGTCCGTGGGTTGCTAAAAGATTCTGGAATGCTACTAAACATAGTAGCAGTGTAGCAGCCAACCAATCAGAGCCTCTGCATGTGACGTTTCACTTCCTTGATATTTTTGGCTAAGACTTCAAGTGAACGCTGATTGAATGAAACGCTTCTTAGTGTTTCCTGATCCTTGCTTGTCTTTTGCAAGCAATTTTCTGGATCACCCCAACAGTATCGACAAATAAAGAAAACATTTCCTCCAATTTCATTTAATTATGTCTTTATTTTATTTTTAATTCTTTTTTTTTTAAAATTTAGAACAAAACAAATATTTCAACAAAATCTAATTTACGCTTATTGTATGTAACTCCAGAGAAATTGGCTAAAAGTAAATTATTATTAAATCGTCTAGAGATGGCTTATTCAACAAATCGATTAGCTTGTATTGCTATTGATGAAGTACATTGTGCTAGTCAATGGGGTCATGATTTCAGACCGGATTATAAATTTCTACATGTATTAAAACGTCAATTTTCTAATGTACCGATTATTGGTTTAACTGCAACTGCAACCACTGAAATCATTGTAGATATAGAAAATATGTTAGGTCTTAATGTAGACAAATGTTTAGTATTAAGAACTAGTTATAATCGAGAAAATTTAAATTATTATGTAAGTTAATTTGGTATTTGTTTGTTACCATTAATTGTTAAAAATTCAATATACATTTCATTTATTGCTTTTCCTTAACCGATTTGTCATTTTTACCTAGTACTGTAGATTTAAATGAAACAGTATTGACTTAGTTATTCGACGATTTGTATTGGATGTTTCGAAGATATCTATGGTTAAATATTAATTAATTACGCCTGCTCTCTGCTTCCAAAGGGCGTCGGGCTTTACTAATGTTGTAACGTGTGACTGCAGATTATGGAGCAGCGTTTTATCGATCGATTTCACTGACAAAGAAAACACGTAAGAACGGTCTAGGGTTTTGATTGGCCCTGCTTCGCTGTCTAGCCCAGCCAGTTGAGTCCAGAACACAAGTCACAGCCTCTGAGATATGAATCATTATATTTCAGCATACTCTGTTTATATACCAACCAAACAAACCACATCGTACCATAAAATAGAAAACAACATTTGTACAATATTTAACAAGTGAAATAAATATCGACCAATAGGGAGTGTACATTTTAAGCCCAAGGCCACCATTAGAGTTAACATGATAATTATTGGTATATTTTTCTGCACATCCTAACAACTAATAATCTACAAAATACACAATTGTGTAGATCTAACTCTGTTCCCCATGTCATCGCTTTCAAATTCTTTTGTGGAAATTATAGTTTGATTTTAAATAACTTTTCATGAACAGCTATCTAGTAATGACTACCACTCAAATTGCTTACTGAGATGTATTAGTCTTTGTGTACAATTATGACTTAATTTTTAACACTTCGAATCCCACATCAGTTATTCAGGTTTAAGGCTATATACTACACCAATATTTAGATGATTATCGAGGTATTTCTCTCTGGTTAGGTATCTGCCTATCTTGTCAGTGAATATACTTATATTTTCTTTAGTCTATTGCCATCTTTGTTGTTAAAAGGGTAATAATTGAGAATATGACAGGAAAAAATAACCTCTTTGGCTGTAATTATTATTTATCAAGTTTAGATTTCTAACGGGTTCAATATTTTTTCGCTTTCATGACTTAGAGCTTTTCGTTTTACGTTCAATATATTTCTGTTTTGAGCTTTGGCACCTAAAACTGCTTCATATTCGTGCCATATCTTACAATCACTATGATCGATTTATGCCTCAGTACTTTTCTTGAGAAACATTTCATTGTTTTTTTATCACTTTTCCCCCCAACTTATTCACATAGGTTAAACAAGTCAGTGGATCTATCAAAGCATCTGTTGGATATTTATATGAACTAATTAACAAAAATTATACTAATCAATCAGGTAAATATTCTATTTGAATTATTATTCTGTTCAATGATTAAATCCAATGCTATATTTTTCCCATTACATTTTTATCATAGAGTCTGATCGTTTTGTGTTAATTTGAGCTGAGTATAGGCGTTCGTTTGTTTACCTATATCGAGATGTTAGAAAATTAGTTTTTGAGTTCGTCACATTATCAGAGAAAGGTTGATTTTAAGTTAGTTTTTCTGATTTCAATGAATCCACTTATTTTCACCACTTGAATTTAGAATTGTAAAAGCGATACACTACTTTAATAATAACGTAGTAGTGATTTTAAACATATGAAACAACATAAAAAGAATACAGGGTACCACTACGGTTGCATATATTTAACCCGACTATTTGAGTAAAGACTTTGTTTTTTACAACACTATGAAATAATAATGTCCAGAGTTAACAAATCTAATAGCTATTTCACTACACGTTTTAAAGGATAGGTAGATTGTGGATAGCAGTTGAGTCGTTCCGTATTATTTTGGGAATCGTCAGCTGGATGTAGCTACATTTCAGAATTGATATTCATGCTTGGATTTGGTGGGTAATGTGTTGGGTATAACGATGCCACATGTATTCGGAGTTTAACAACGCCTTTATAAGCGAAGGGTACCGACCCAGTCAAGTCAGAAATGAAAGTTCGCAGATATATTTGGCAGGTTATCCATATGTTGAGAAGCGTTTGGTCTAGGCTGGATGTGTTGCGCAGCGTACCCACTCGTGATCTGGTGCGGATGCGTGGCTGAGCGCCTTCAGCTGGAATGTTTTCAATAAAACTAATGAGGTTTGTGTCAATGTCGATGAGTTACAAGACTGTTTATTTTGTGGATTTATTTACCGCTACATGTGTTTGTTGCAAAATGTACTCTATTCGAACATCAACGCTAACATGTTGGCAAATTTAACTGACGAGTCCCAAAATAGGACGAATTGCTCGTCCTGGATTTCACCGCTAGCCGAAATCCATCTATTATATGGAAACTATTCACTTAGTCTTTAATGATTTCTGATATATCCGTCTTTATTCTATTCATATATTTCTAGGCATTGTGTATTGTTTTTCTCAAAAAGATACTGAAGATGTTTCTTCAGAACTAAAGAATTTTGGGTTAAAAGTAGCTCCATATCATGCGAACTTAGATTTTAATTATCGATCTAGAGTTCATTCCGATTGGAGTCAAGGAAGAATTCAAGTACGTTATTTTCAGCGTATTATTCATTGTATTTTATTTATGAAAATTATTGACAAATATTCCGAGCATACTTGAGAACCTGTTTTAAATACTATTTTTGAAATACATATATTGATTGTGCTACTGGAAATAATTAAAAAAGCATTTGTGAGTAGAATCATAGTCTTTTAACGTTCTTGAACATCCATTCACTTGACCAGCTCAACAAAAAACTCAGTGATTGAGTGTGTTTTTGATTTTCTAATATGGTTCTATTTCTGCTCCTACAAATCCATTATAACTAAACATTATTTTACGAAAAAGGACGACAGAATTTCCACTCATAAGTGCTTGGTACAAATAAAGATTCTCCCTAGTAGACTGATTCGAACAGACTGTGATAGTTCGTGTCTTAAAAGATTGAAAATTCTCTTTTTCGGACTGAAGTTGTCAGCATAACTTATAGTCATCTATGATGCTATCGTGGTAACGGCTTTGTTAACAGATAATTAAGAAACAAGTATTAGAAATGAAGAAGAGGGTCTAAGTTTCGTTTGTGTAAACCCGAAGCTGTGCAAATATATATATATATATTAATGATCCCATTTTGAGTAAATTCAATAGATTAGGACTTACTCAATAATTAATCAGTAGCTAAACGGAAATAATACCATAAAGTTAAACTAGTGAAGCCAGGAAATATAACTGACTGAATTATATACTTCATTCTCCTTAGCACTTTTTTAAATTAAAGTTGACGATCGAATTGAATATCCATTTTCCTTCATAATATAATATGCTTACATGTCCCACTCGTCTTTATATGCTTCTCTCTTTTTTCCAGTTATTGTATTTTTGGAATCGTCAACTTTTTTCTCCGTTTATGACTCTTTCCTAATATTCATAGGTGATTGTTGCCACTGTAGCTTTTGGTATGGGTATAGATAAAGCTGATGTTCGTTTTGTAATACACTTTTCATCAAGCAAAAGTCTAGAAAATTATTATCAGGAATCAGGTAGAGCAGGACGTGATTCGAACTCCGCGGATTGTATATTAATGTGGCGTTTTTCAGATCTATTTCGTTTAGCCAGCATGGTATCATCTGAACGAACAGGAATTGCAAAACTTTATGAAATGGTTGGATATTGTATTGATCCGGATATGTGTAGACGTTTTTTAATTTCGAAAAATCTCGGTGATGCTTCTTGGTCTACTGATGACTGTAAAAATGCTTGTGACAATTGTCAACGTAAAAACACAAATAAGTCAGGTGAGTCACGTATTTTCAATGTAAATCAAATGATTATATCAGTTGATCTCCTTAATTACTGTTTTACAACTGTCCAATATTAAATATTGAATCACATAAATAGACTACTTTTTTATTCCCGATTAGGTGGTCGATTACACTTAGTGACCAGTCGTTTTACATGGATCATCCATCCAAATTTGAAATCGAAGTATGTAGAACTTAACGGTAACACCTTTTCCTGAAGAGTCAAATCTTCTCTTAGTGATTTATGCATTTCAAAGGTGAATTTCACCATAATAGTCTACAAAGTAAAGTGGAGACATTTACGACGCAAAATTTCAGTATTTTGTGATAATCACTCCCTATCTTTGTCACAGTTTTCGCCTGATGGACATAATTATGATATAAGACCAAATGGAGGAAACCTATTTGATGTCTTGCTACCAATACACCTGAACTGTATTCCTAGCGGGTTCTTATAACCCCAACTACTCTTACACATCGAATGGAACAATAGAGAGAAGGCGCGAGTTGTGAGTAAAAGCTTTACTCTAAGGTTAGTTCACGTACAGAAAAAACAAAGCTATTCGTTGAGTTACACATAACCTTGGGCTTCTGGATATTTCTGGAACCATACTAAATACAGTAACAGTATAAGTAAATATCCAGTCCAAACCGTAGCACGTGACTCAGCATATCCTAGATGTTTCTGCTAAACCGAAACGTTTATTGCGTGAAACGTTTCCTCGAGTTCCTGGGCCTCTCGAAACTTTGATAGAAGGATATTCTAGGACTCCCTCAATAGTACTAATTAAGCTCAGCCACCGCCTATCTCAATTTAAAATCTTGGCTAATGTAGAAGTAGCTTGGAGCGATCAAAATCAAACATGGCATCAGTCCATGAAATCACTAATTGTTAGATTGAGTTTTTAGGTAGATGCGGACTACCTGGTTGGTGCCTACTCGATAATCATAGCCAGCAGTTGCAGACTTTGGGTGCTATAGCTCATGCGTTCACTCTTTGTTTTCCCTTTGATCTTCAGTTAAGAAACTGTCTTATACTTTTCCATTATGCAGATTAACTCCTCTCAAATCATATTATGCCTAATTTTCTCTGCTACAACTGATACTGTTACTAGCTCTAATACTCTCTGAAAATTGTTTTGATTAATTTCTTTCTGTGCTGATATGGTGCGACGAATGTACCAGGTCCCACGTTGCTTATCATTGATTAGGTATTGAGCTTAGTATCATTGTATACTTTGGATTCATTTTTTTAAAATTATATCTTTTATATTCAGCTGTCCATTGCAATCATTACCATCATTTTATTTGCTCTACTTGTCTTATTGATTACCGCTTTCATTGTACTGATCTGAAGTTTAATGACTTGAATCAATACACATTTATCTCAAGCCCTGCACTGTTTAACATTGACTCGATTTCCAACTTCTCATGTTTTAATTTTATATAGATGTATCCACGTTGATTCAAATAAAAACAGATAAATTACTGAATGCGACAAAACAATTATTATTTGATCAAAGTTTAACAAAACAAGAAAGGATAACTGGCCCTAAATTGATTGATCTTATGACTTGTAATAAGCAGATACAATCTATCAGTCAAAAATTATTGTATAGAAATCAAGAAAAACCTGAACGTCAATTTTATGAACATTTCATATCTTGGTGTTTAATTAAACAATACTTAAAATTAGATTTTCATTTTACACCATATTCAACTGTTTGTTATGTTGTCAACAATGACAATTCAGTTGATAATGAACACATTGAATTAATGCCTTATTTATTATCAATTAAGGAAGAATTGGATAAAGACAAAGTTACGGAAGAGCGTTCTCACGTAGATGCCAAACGAAAAAGAATACATTCAACTGAAACGGTTGATCTTACATAATTGATTTCAATTTGTTAGCATAACGCTGTATGCGTAATTTACTTATGTATTATAAATATATTACCTGTGATTTTATGTTTGAATATAAACTGTTAACTCTAATTGAAACATTCATCTTGAATAATAACAACAGTGGTTAACTGGTGTGAATTATTACGTTACGCGAAGTTGCGACATCAGATATAGTCCTTTAATGGTCGGTAACTAACGTAGGTTTGTATGTCCAGATATACCACTGGTGTCGAGCCAGAGTTTATTGAAACCCCTAATTGGACCCTACCGTATTTACCCAATGTGTGCAAACTATGAGATATACTTTGCTGAGTTTCTGGGTTATTATGATATTAGTGAATCCGCAAAAGCCATTACTTTATATCATTTTTAACGATAATTTGAATGGCTAGTAAACTTTTCAACCTAAACTAGGAATGACAACAAAATAAGATGGTGGTTGGATGTAGTCAACAGGATACACTAGGTCCGGGTTTCGTGCTACTTGGCACTCGTCAGCAAGGTGTACCTGAGGGAACTGGTGCTCCCTGACGGATTCGATTCCGTGTCACCCAGCTTCTGTCAGAGACGTTACCATCGGGCTATCCGGGCTGCAACCGACCTCCTGTGGAACTGAGATGTAATCACAATTGATTGATCACTGGGTGATGGTCAATGTCATGTGTGTCAAGTCCTTAATAGTGCAGATCAAATCATGATGCCTTAAGTGTTGATCTTAATGACTAATTGATATGTGTAGCCATGTAATTATGCTATGGCACATTGTAGGCTATTGAAAGGAATAGGGGTACAAATTTACCTAACTTCAATAACAATATTTCAGGAACTAGTTCTAGATAGTAAATTGAACTCAAACCTGTTGATGTGATTCTATTCACGAAATAGATAAAACCAGTATTTACGCAAAATGTTGTAAAACAGCTTTACCTAAACATTCTCACGCTGATCAGAAGTAATTTCTGTAAAGTTACCATTAATCACGAACATGAATAACATTGCATTACGAATGACTGAGGAGCAAAAAGCAGACACAAAACAGGAAATGGATAGGAGAAAGATGTATAATGCGCAAATTATGTTTTAAGAAAAAGCAATAAGATCATAGAAAAAACATTTTGTACAAAAGAAACAAATAAATTCTATTGTTATGTACAGTCAAATTAATTTTTTTAGAAATGTCAAGTATCTGATCTTTATTTATCTTTCAAAGATGTTTTTAATTCTCCTGGGATGGGAACTGGTTTTTCAGGATTATGATCAATAGTTTGGTGTAGCAAAATGCCAAGTACACCACCACGTTGAGATATGGCACGTCGTAGTCTTTGTTCCTCTTGCATTAATTCATCCATTTGAATTAGCTGAAAAACAATATTGCAAAAGAAAATTGTAACGAAGTCATGTGATTAGAATAAAATGTAAACTAAAAGAAAACCGACCGTTACATTGTCTATCTCAAATTGCTAATTCAATAATAAGTACAGTAAATCATTTCCATACTGAGAGTCATTTTTTGATTATATATATAAAAACGTTTGTCATTGATTGGATTTTCCTAAGCTCCTAAACGATTGTCCAATGCGTTTGGACAGTAATTTGAACCAGCTTATCTTGACATAATTTACTAATTAACCGAGACGTGAAAACGTATGTATGCCAAGCAGCTTGTTTAACATACCAAAGAAGCATTTTTACACATCTCGCTAACAAAATGAGATACCTAGATAGTACTCAAAAATATAGTATGACATATTAGACAAAAACACTTAGAATACACCTATTCAACAATTTCTACTCTCATATTTATGCTTACTTTCCGTTAGTAGTCTAGCTAAACAGCTTTAAATCCACAGGCTTAAAAGTTTGTTAAGGGGCCTAGCTACCATATTCAGCCTTTGAACAAATTAATATTTTATCCTTGTGTTTCCCTGCTATCTTTAACTGATTCGTCAATCGAAAATAAATAGCTGAGATGGTAAGCAAGTACTGAATCGATTGCAGTGCGAGTAACATATGACATTGACTTTTTTCAAGTCGTCTGTGACATGTAATCGCATCCTGAGTAGAAGTTGTTATGTAATTTATTCCGATCTTTTAGATATAGATGCTTAACTGTGTAACATTGTAAATATGCGTTGAGACAGTAAGTTATTAATTGATGTTAAATACTACTCAGCTCAATTTGTACAAATCTGACTGCACATAAATTATGTACAGAGTAGTATATTCATGTATAATTTTAATTTATTTTGGGGGTCAAAAAACTAAAATGATACATGGCTTTGTTTTCTTAGTTCCGTCATCCGATGCAGGGTTTATCAGTGCCAAATCAGTCAAGCGACCATAACGACAGTCAAGTTTGAGAACTAGGTGTCTTAGAAACAACAACAGGTTAACATTAATTTATTTCAGTATATTAACAGCACAAGATTGAAAGTTGCAGAATCATTTTGTCAATTTATTTGTTTCATGGTCTTATTATAATAGGTTTATCTAAGACAATTTGTGAACAAACTATTAGAAAACATTACTTACACAGCGATATCGTTCCAAATCTATTTTCGCGCGACGTAGACGTTCCCAACCAAAGTGTTTAGTGCACTTATTGCGCGGTACACAACAAAATTCACCAGTTTCTTCAAAGACATTATGAACAAGCGGTGATCCACATACTGTATCTGCAGGTAGCTTCGGTTCTTTATAATGCTCACAGACTACACGTAATCGTTTACAATACGCTCTAGCCTGTGAGTCGTAAGCATCACAAAATAATGGTGTACCCATGATTTGCTCTTTTTGATTAGCACAAAACACAGTGTTTCCTTCCATCTGAAACATATTTCATGAGAAAAACATTCGTAGATCTTGTGCATAAATTAAAAAAACGTGCAAACAAACGATAAATATTGAATTACTCTAACTTACCTTTTGAAAACATTTTTCCATATGCTTCAGAGCATGTCGCATACTGATTTCAGCTGAGCACGTAACACATATGATGGGTTCCATCTGTTCTACTTGTTCTGCGTCGTGAGCAACCGCAGCAAGCTTAATAATGATAATGAAAATATTATAGACTGATAAATACATGAGTTTATACGCAAGTGCACCTGACGAGAACAAAGAGTTGGCTCTGTGAAAACAGTAGTTTAAAAAATATACTACATATTCGAGCTTAGTGTTAGGTATGCAGAGGAATGTACCAATAATTATCGTGTTAAGTCGAATGGTGTCCTTGGACGTTAAATGGACATTTCCTATTGGTCGATGTTTATTTCACTCGTTAAATATTGTGTAAATGTTGTTTTCTATTTTATGGTACGATGTGGTTTGTTTGTTTGGTATATAAATAGAGTATGTCTGAGATAAAATGATTCATAACTCAGAGGCTGTGACTTGTGTTCTGGACTCAACTGGCTGGGCTAGACAGGGAAGCGGGACCAATCAGGGCACTAGGTCGTCCACTGCGTGTTTACGTGTCCACTGGAGCAATCGATCGATAAAACGCTGCTTACCAAAACCTGCAGTCCACTCGTTACAACACTTAATATTACCTACTATGATCTGGAATCCGACAACAGAATCATTCAGTACTCTGTCATCTTCAATGATTGGCTAACTGATACCTACGTAATACCTAGGATGAAAATATATCGGTTCGAATTAACTCATTATACATCAGCGCAATCAGAGAGAACCGAACTACAAAGTGAAACCAGGAGTGAAAACAATACACTGACAAGAAAAAAATTGTGAACATAAAAATCAAAAATTGCCTGACATGAGAGAAATTACCATTTGTTCATTGTTTCGTCCAGTTTTTCGCTCTTGAGCTCGACTAATAAGTGCCGTAAGCTTTTGATGCTCCATTTCTAATTCAACCAACCGATTGTGTACTACACACTGTTCCTTACTAATTTCTTTAAGACGCAATTTGTCAATAACGGTAGCCATACAATCCGGTAGCCTTTCTAATTCAGAAAGAGCCGTTCCAGCTTTCGTAAACAAGTCAGGATACCAAGCATGAAAACTTTCTGGTAGTAGAGTTTCTAAGCGCCTAAAAAAGAAAATGTGTAATTTATCAGTCTTAAAAAGCTCTGTAATGAGTAGTGAACTGAGGTCATGAGAAACTTTATTTTGAAGACTTTAAGCTACTTCAATTTCTTATCAAAGTACTCCCTATTTGTATAAAAATAATTATCTCATTTGTTTTCATTGTCCAAGATGTCAGTGAAAGTCAGGCTCGCTACTTTAAGTGAAACCATACACACATCATTCGCATTCTATAAGGGACTAAGTTTTTCTTAACTGTTGGTTAGCCAACAGTGACTTTAACAAACGTTTCATACAGAAATTCACAGCCTTGAATGTCTCACTAGAATTATGTGTGCAGACGATTGATTTTTCTGGACTCAACTCATCAGTTACCACTCAGGTCGTGAACCAACGACCCGAACGCACGTAGAGCCATACAAGTATGATATGTTTATCAACACAGAGACTCTATAATCGTCCGTAACTGACAGTACTATTAAACCGATTCGCGTATTTGTTGAACAGGCAATATATAAGGAGGTATTACTGATCAAGTAAATGAGTTAGATGCCACAACAGACGTTCATTTTACGACTTTCAAACCCGAAAAATGAGTTCCAGATTCAACTTAGGTACTGTATATGTATTCAGCTTTTATGTCATAAATAACGCCTAGTATTAATGGTCATAGCAATATAGGTTGCAATCTATAACAATTGAGGTAGGACTAGTAAAAACAGTGAGTCACTCGAAATTTTCAAAGGAGCCTCATATGATCTTAATCAATAATCAAACAGTCAAAGGTTGGGTGCTTTAAGTGTTATGAAATAGTATTGTACCGGCATATATAAAAGGAGCGATAAATTACGCCTTTATAGACTGCTTGATAATGATTTGGAGCAGACACAGCAAATATTTTTATAATGGATTTTCGTCTTATTACTTCTAAACATTTTAAAGTCATTAGAGTTTAAAAATGTGATCTATAAACAAAATATTTCGTAAATGAAGCAAAGTACAGATAAGCTACAAACTTGATGGCAAGTTTAAGTCCACATTCATTTGAACAATATTTTGTATCTGGTCTTGCTGCAGCTCGAGTGCATCCAGGACCGAAACATTGTCGAGGCTTTTTTAGTTCGTTAGGTATTAGTGAATCAAATACTTTTCGTGGGTTGCTATTATTTGTCTTTGGTTTTTCAACTCGACGTGTAGCAATCTTACGACCAGATGATGCATGAACAGTCCTAGCACTTCCACCTTGATAGCGATTAACAGTTCTAGGTCGACCAACGGATTTGGAAGATTTATTGGAAGAAACAATACGATTACTCCCTGGATTGTAAGCAGCTGTCCTTGGCAAACTGCTGCCAATTCTACGTTGAGAACGATCTCCATGTGAACTTTTGCGATGTGAACTGCAACTATTTCCAATTTTACGTGAACCAGTGAGTTGTGTTCGAGAATTGCGACTAGGACGCTAAAAAAATTGGTAATGTAGAGTGAACAAAAGCTTCGCAATTGAAAACCTAGGCGAAATTATTTCATTAAGACGATAAAAGAGAACAACTTTTTCAGTTACAGTGAAGTACAATTAGTTATAATTAATAATGTTCAGGTATACCGAACGATAATACGAGTGGTTAGTCCTACTACATTCGCAGACCAATCGTTCAAAATATCATTTGCTTCGGTCTGGGCCCTCGGGCAGTATTACCCCCCACACAAATCAAGTGACTTGTGTGACGCATGTGTATTTGGTACCCCTTTGTATCAGCATTTATGTGTTAAAATAAATAAATAAAAAGGTCCAAAAGGTTTAGAGTAATGTTGCGAAGAAGCACATAAAACTGTAGGAAGATAGGAATTACATGTTCTAAGCAATAGCCACCTATGTTTATTATGGCTAATGACAAGTATCTCGAACGTTTCAATGAATTATGTTCTATACTTCTACACAGTGGAGTACATTAACATTATCCAGTTAACTGCATTTAATCCTTAAAATTTCGGTTCTTATTAATATCCACAAAATAAGGACAACCTTGAGAAACCTAATATCATTTTCTTATCTAATATAAAAAACTGATCAATTGAATTATTTTAGAGAAATATGTTTTTAAAAATTATTTAGACTACTATACTTCACATTTTGTGTACCATTTTTAGAGCGGAGTCTGATAAGAGTTGCATGACAATTGATTAGATGTTCAGGTCCTTTGTTTTTTGCAGGCATACATAACTGAGATTATACGAATGACAGAGTATAATTGACTAAACTATCATCAAAAAATCAGATGGAGATGTACAGATGATAGAATTAATGATGAAGTAGGATGGAATCAATACTTAGTATGATAACTTAAATACAGTTTACAAATCTCTGAACTGTAGCTCACTGCACATAAATTTTAGCGTTAATAAATCGTTATGCCTAAATAGGAAAACACTACAGTAATTTAAAGTAGCCAGCTTCGACACTAAATATTAGTAAAATTTCCGACCATAAGACATGACTACCTTTGATTTTAATAGGAAATAAAAAAAACTGTTGCATACATCAGGAAAAGAAATAAGGAGACTTAACTGTTGAATTTAGATTTAGCGTGCCTAAATGAATACAATTGAGCATATCACGCACAAAATGTTTTGCGAAATGGGAAAGATGTACATTTTCTAGTTAAAATTCATCCAATACTTTTTTGTCAGACATCGTTATAATGATTATCGCTAACTTTCCTTCAATCCAAAGCAAATGTGAACATTCAACTGTCGATAGATTGGGTTTAATTCTGATGCTAGATTGTTAAGGTGAAACATGTTACAAAATAATATTTTGGACGCTATACTTACTAAGAGGTATATGCTAAAACGTGAGTAAATTAAACTCAATAAACCCACGTAAGTAACTTTACAAAATTTGGACACCAGATTAATTGACTAAAGCAGTTTCTAACTGAAATAATATCCCCATCCAGTTGTTCCTTTTCAGGCCAACTTTCCTTCATGATTTCGTGTGAAATGTAACGAACTGATTATATCTGTCTCAAACAAGTATAGTTGAACACCTGAGAAAGGAATAGCATAACATACTGTACTATTACATCTTATTACAGCCACAAAACAAGAAATTTTCTTTCGACCTGCTATGTACATTTAAGATCACACTTACGATGTAAAAACATTGGGGTTTTAAGTATAAATAACCAAAATTGACCTACTTTTTTCTCATAATCGGAAGCAACCCAGTCCTCATCTTCTGCATCATCATCTTCATCAAAGTCATTGTCATCATCACTCACGAGACCTTCAACGTTACTATCATCAAAATCATCACAAGTTTCATGTCCATTTGATGAGACGCGGTTTGTTGCTGACCAGTTATCAGAGAGAACGGATTCCTTGTAACTTTTTGATAAATCACTTCGATGACTGCTACCTTTTACAAATTTATCACGAGGACTGTTTTGACTGAAAGGTTTAGTATCGACAACATTGTCATCCCATTCACAAATTTCTCTTCTGCTAGGCACATTCTTCTCGTGATTGTATTTTTGACTCATTTTGTGGTGAACGTGAACAATTTTTCACACTTTAGAAGCCAAAAAGAGAGATGATATTACTCGATATGACTACTTCTGTTAATTTTAAATAGGAAATCCAAGCTGGTGAGCTGGTAAATCTGATCGCTCGCCATAAATATTTTGGCGATTGCCTGTTACTGGCTAGTAGCAACTTGAACCAAAATCGAAGACAATTATGACTGAGTGACCTTTGGTAAAACGTTAGTTATATATACGAACTACTGCTAGGAAAAGCTGCCTTACTTAAACTATGACTACGTCTAAGCTCTGGTACACTCGTATGTTCTCAAATAAATAAATGAAATACATTATACAACTTAAAGTGATATCAATGGTATACTTTAAAAGGAAGTGGCTGTATGAATATCGAAGTATAAAAGTGATAGTGATCATGTAGTTGTTTGAAAGAAACTGCATTTCTGTAACTGTTATCGAACTTAAGTCATTTTATGCTACATATGGATAATTATATGAGATATTTCGCTACGAAAAAATAAAAACTGTGATAAAATTAGTTAACCCACCGATGTGTGACACTAATCTAAAAGATAAAGCTTCACGAAATAAAAGAAGTTTGAAACTTAGCTGACTTTTCGCGACTGATAAATGTTGAGTTCTGAAAACTAGCCGGATGACCACAGCGAGATTACACAATGAAAAATAGCATCGTGGTGCTGATTGCCATAGTATGTCGGATCGTTTTACATCACGTTTAGCACTAAATTCCGTTTTGTTTAGTACCAGCTTTCTTAAATAGTCTTCTTTGTCATCTGTTACTGGTGTGAACAATCCTAACATACAGAATGACATTTTCCGTGCTCCGGAAGACGTTTTGTATCAAATGTTTCAGCTCAGGATACCCGCATAAAACTAGACTAGTCTTACTATCGAATACGGAGTTTTCGTGCCACTGAAGAATTACACATGAATAAATACTGATTGGTAATACTATGTCTAGCGAATAAGGGAACAGTATAACTACAGTTGTATCGGTAGTATACGGAAGTAGTATGTTGGGATAACTTCTAACAAATAGAGATAGACTGTAGAGATCGTTTCCTCTAATACTGAAATATGATGATCTGTTAACTGAGTATTTCTAGATATAGCAGTTTTGTTCTGTGATTTAAGAAACTGTGACCGCCAAAACTTTCAATTTTAAGTTGAGAAATGTCTACTAATTTCAAATGCTTGTCAGAACACTAGCAATAGAAAATTTGTAGGGAACTTTTTTGAAGAACAGTCTCAGAATAGAAACCACAATCATCAAACAGTCCAATGACTCGGAATTACACACCAAATAGAATGAAAAGCGGAATAATTGAGAGGGATATCTTAGACAAATTAACACTTTTCGTTACTATTTGACGCTGACAAGGAAAAATATTTGTTTTGCTTAAAATATTTAAATATTTTAAGCAATCTCAAGCAACCAATAAAGTGGAAACAGAGGCAAACAAGGAGAGATAAAGCGAAAGAAAGCGTAAATAAAGTGTAAATGTTGATTGGCCCCTTGCGTCGTGTATTTAGGGGAAATTTGTAAACAAATTTACGTAACGTACATATCCGAATATACCGCCTCCCGTTCGTATATTTTCAGATACGTATATAAAATAAAATACGTTCAACATATTTTCCCCTTTGTTCGCTCTTAGTAACCCCTGATTGATTGTTTAAGAAGCATATACATGCTTGGTGGAATATGCTCATAAACCCCTTACAGGCTGCACAGGAACAAATCTAGCTGAGCATGAGTTCAGCGTATGATTTGATCGGATGGTCGATCCGAACCTCCCACTTTTCTGACATGTTAAGAAATTAAAATAAATGCAACTGACAGTCCTAGCAACACACAATTCTAACCGTTAACCTCAACTTCGAACCTTGACCTTTGATGTGGTCTAGTGAACTGATCTCAGAGACTTGTGTCTGAGTAGTAGGAGAGCAGCCTTGTTTAGGTGAGGGGCGAGTATGAATGGCAACATAAAGAGTGACATACTTCAATACTTAGAGGGCTAAAGTTATCTTTAGGCTGTTTTTTTTTGAAGGATTCAGAAGGTTGCGAACCAATAGCTTCTGGCAGAAGCCTTTATAACTATCTGACTTGAGAAGTGCTTTTTGGTGTGAGTTTTTTCTCGTTTTATCCTCGGTTGATCTCCCCTCCAGTGTAGTTTATCAATGAAAATCATCAGTTATCCGTTATAGTAGGGAAAATTATGAAAGCTATGGTGTGTAGCGGTAAATAAACCCACGGTATATGTACTCCGCTAAGTCATCGACATCAGTGTCGACCTCTTCATTTCACTCATACACGTCCCTAGCCGACGTTGCTCGACCATTCATCTGAACCAACTGACGTTTGGGTTCACCGTGCTACGCATCCCTCAAGACTATTAGCCATCTTTGATCCAAAGCTTCTCTGCATATCAATGACTCGCCAAATATATATCCCAACTCCATTTCTGACTTTTGATATGACTGTTTTCAGTCTTCGATAATAAATATGGTAGATTAGTGAAAATATTTTAATCATCACAGTTTGTTTTCCAATGAAGGTCCAGCTTACCCTTTGAAATGTCCACTGATGGAGCTGAATCCACTTATTCGGGTGAGGTATCCTAGTTATTGACCACTCGATGAGAAAAAAGGAACCTCACTCTGAGTCTATGGGATCGCGATGGGTTGCTTCCCTCTTGTTATTGTGTGATCAAAGAGTTTTAACAAGGACTTCTTTGACGGAACTCAATGTTTTGAAGTGAATTGACTTCATACTGTTGCTGTCTAACTATCTGCTTAAAGCTTCTTCGACTCGTTTCGTTTAAACAGAATTATGGTCTCATTTCGTCAGGAAAATATCTTTTGTTTGTCAAGTACGTAATGACTGCAATTGATACTTGTAACGGCCTAGGTTGGTTGGTTAAGAGTTGACCCCAAACAACCAAGCATATGCCAAAACAGTACTGTTCAAGTATTCATTCACTTCCTTGTTTTGTATAAGCGTTATATTCCCTATTATCTTATATTGAATGTTGAGAGCCTTTGTTTGTCTGAACAGGTAATCCGACACTCCACTGTTACCGCGCTGAGATCGAAATAAAGACCTATTCACTACTTCTCTGGTTTTTTCTATCAATAGCACGAGGGTTACTTTAAGGCACGAAATACTTTTCTCCGTATGATACATTATTTAGTACCACAGGAAGTCTTGACCCTTTAGTGTTATATTATCAATCTTGAGATACTTTGTATTTTCAGATATAATTAATTATCATTACTCATTATCGTTACATTATTTTGGGAATTCACTATGATGTAATAATTAACCTATCCAATCATACTTGATAGAAGAACTCTGAAAAATTCGGAAACTTCCATGTTCCTGGAAAGCATCATCGATGAACAAGAAGCATCAGATGCATGCGAAAATGCAAGAATTGGCGAAGCGAGTGCAGCACTCTTACAGTTAAAGAATATATGGAACTCAAAACAAATATCAACAAATACCAAAGCCAGCAACTTCAATAGAAACGTAAAGACATAAATTTGGAGAACCGCCACTTTAGTGAACCAGAACACAAGTGGTGGCAATCAAATGATTTTGAATACAAAACTACGGAACATCTTAGAAGAATCTGAGCACTACACAGTAAATACGTATTTTGCAAAGTGTCAATCAATCGTCTCAATTTTGACTGTTTCTTTCGCACATGTCTATCAGTCGTATCAGACTTCATTTTTCCTACATTTCCACAGCAATCATTCACTGTTCTCATTCACTTTCCTTCGATCTTCCTAACCTTCTGCTGCCAGGTATTTCACTTTCGATAGGCGATACGTACTATTTATATCTATCGACATCAGTTGTGCACATAACGCCACAAAGATCATCAAAAAGTTACATGTATTTGTAGAATTATGATCTACTGTGATATTAGTACTGCTCTAATAATAAACCTAACCCTATAATTGTAGATTTGTCATGATGTTACTGCCTAATCTATAAGATCTTACGTGGAAGTCACATCATCGTCTACACCAACTCACTACATCTTAACAATCACCAATGCATGATAAAGAACAGACTTAGGCTAGAGATAGAACAATATATTTAATATGAATAGAAGATATAAGGTAACATTCAGCACGGACTACGCCTGCATGGCCGAACCATGTCATACGATCGACTCCGATTAATTCAATTGCTCCTCCCCCCTCTTCACATTTGGGTTTTTCTCCGTGTTAATTGTTGAATGTCCATTTCCGACATTGTCTCGTATTAGGGCCGAATGCCATTACATATTAATAAATAATTGTCTACACAAGATACTCACCGTCCACTGGCCGGACACCATTAGCAACAACCAACTGTGGAAGAGAAAAACGCGAGCTTTCAAATAAAGAAGAAATTAAGGAAAGACAATCAATGAGGATCGGACAAAAATTTCAGAAATAATCAAACTGCATCGCGAAGCAAGTGCTAACTTGGAATCCTGAAGTGAAACGGAAAAGAAGGAGACCTGTAGTGGCATTGGACAATAGCCACACAATCCACAAAGCTGTGAACACGAGACTACTCAGAAAATAGATATTCAATATTTAACGCGGAGAAATACCTAACAATGGAGAAGGCGCGAACAATGAATTGAAGGAATTAGAGTTGATCGAGTGGCATGGCTCGGCCATGCAGGCGTGGTCTCCGCTGAATGTTATCTTATATTCATATTAAATATATTGTTCTTCCTCTAGCCTAACCTTGTTCTATATCATGTATAAGTAATTGATACGATACAGTGAGTTGTCGTAGTCGATGGTGTGACTTCCACGTAAGATCTTATAGATTAGGCAGTTATATCATGACAAATCTACAAACTTAGGATTAGGTCTATTATTAGAGCAGTACTAATATCATAGTAGACCATAGTTCTACAGACCAAAGAATTCACTGGAAGCAGACATGAAAAGGACGAATAGCAACTGAGAAAGGCTACCTAGGACAGAATTAGATGGAAAATGCTGGTGGGAGGCCTATACTTTTCAACGAGGAGCGACAGGTGTAAGTAGGTGATTACATAACTATCAACGAACAAAAGAAGCTTCGTCCCCTCTACAGAAGAGCGACGTGATTCAGGCTAAAAATATTTTGGATTTTGTTACTTCATCTGCTGCACTAAGGCTAAATACCTGGATCATGTTCGTTACACGAAGGTGGTTTTGTACTTATAAGTAACATGCTGACTCAGATGTTGTATAGGTCCTCAGCCATATCTGAAGGCTACGATGGATGATGCATCGGTCAGCGTTCTGATATGTTCAGTCAGTGGTTTTGTTGAGTTTGTTGATGCTTAGGTCAACGTAATCGTTTTTATTGATTCTATGTTCTGTCATATGACCTGGAGATAACGTTTTTCGTGACTTTGCTTCATCTTCCTAGGTAGCAACTCCTGTGATCATTATGGAAAGCAATAGTGATGTCGGTTTAGTAGATAGCTTGCCCTGTTCTGAAAGATGCAGCTAGGTAATCAAAATAGTCGGACTTATCGAAACACTATAACCTGAGTTAATTTGAAATCTCTCGTGATTTTCAGACTGCCTCGATAGTAAGTGGTAAGTGGCGTGATATTTAGACAAACTGTATCTTGGTTTATCAGTAGTTAGTAAAATTTAGGGTTCCTGAGACGTTTGAAGGGTACTGAAAAGCACTGATTGAACGTAATTTAAAAGTATCTCAGCGGTATTCAGGAGCAGAAGGGTTGAATTTCTTTTCTCGACCGTATCTTAGACAATCGGTAATCTCACTTTTTCTGAGAACTTCTAACTCGACCTACATTTTTCTCTGCATGTCAGAATGAGACATTTAAGTCTTACACACAGACAATCTAGGAAGTAACTGATCCCTGTATCGAGCTTTCAAATACTTCAAGAGTCTGGTTACAACCAATTTCTAGGTTTTATTCAAAAGAAGGTTCGGTGGACGGAGATATCTAGTTTACAGCTAATAATATCTACAGTAAAGGACTTGTGACAATCATGACTGATTGTTCGGAACTTTTCCGTTCATTTGTCCGTTCTAAAAACGTGGGCCTGGGAACATATTCTACAATATATATTGTCTATGAACCTCTTCAGAAGACAGATCAGACAGTTTTTGATGATACGCAGGGTTATCGTCTGCTTGTCATTTATTATGTCTAACATTTTGATTTAGCACAAAGATATTATGTTAGAAGAATGAACAGTATTGGGACGAATTCAAATCAGATACGAGACAATAGTGACACAAAGCGTTACCGAAATTGAGGCAACTACTTTCGTACTAGTTTCATGGTGTCTACAAGGATATATATGTTTGAGCAGCAAGGGTTTTATCCAGATAATAATTATTTCTGTAAGGGCATCGTGAACGAGGCTCGACAAAACATAGGACTTCCATTGTCTGGGTTAACATCGATCAGTGGTAGATCACAGTGAGATAATTTACTGAAGATATAATAACACAAAAATTTATTAAAAATACGGCAAATCCTTAGCGATGAAAGCTGGAATGTCTGGTTTTTGATAGAACAAAACGGTAACAAATGGTAAATTAAATCAAAAAATGATAACAGGTGTTATGAATTGAACTCTACTTAAAAGCTCTCCCTGAGATAAAGATCAAGAATTGGTTCATTTGATTAATAAAAACTCCTCTGGATGTGTGTTACCGACGGGGTGGCGCGAAATATAAATACGATAGTGTTATTGAATAACAATTTGGGCCAAAAATCCAACACTGTTGCCTGAAAGGATGTAATAACGCTATTAAAATTTTCAGTCACAGGTTGTTGACGATTAATCAGAAGAATAGATGACAGAGGTTGCGTTTATTTGAATAACATCGATAGCGTGTGAATTAACCAATTAATCAATTGTCTGTTTTTATTAGTGCAAATAAACATTAGATATCGGATATGAATGCGTCTGTACATTAAGTGTCATAAATAAAAAGTGTGATTTTTATATTGTCGTTACGAAAATCATTGAATATAAATATCTCTGTGGATTTTTTCCTGCTCTGAATTCAGTGCATGGAACTGAGAATTCAAACTTTCAGATCATTTTTATGCAGTGGCCTTAGGAAACGTCGCATCATGAATCCACTAAAAAGGGGTTAAAAAAGTTTTTCGGCATTTTTTCTTTAGGCAAATATATTTTTGCTGAACATCATACTAGGTCGAACTAACGCGCAACTAACAAACCTCAAGGTGATGCCGGATGGTCTGTCTCATAAAATGTATGTTATAGTTAAAAATCATTTTACTGAATAGCCTTATCTGTGGAGATGTCAAAGGGAAAGTCAATGCACTATACTCAAGGGTTTCCAAGGTTATGAACGTCGCTGGACAGTTTGATGTAGGTTCTTCACAAACGTTTTTATCAATTAAGATGATGTTTTGTTTAGGAGACTTTTTCGGAACTCAAACTGATGAAATAAAAAAATTAATCGATGGCAGTTTGGCAGGTATCTTTCTAATTTTTTATTTATTTCCAGCGTCTCTTCCTACCTATATCGTGTCCCCATATACAGAAATCGCTCGAAAGTTTTGTCAAACGGAATCTGGTTGTGAGCTTTGCAGTAACGTCACGTATCTGGGTAAATTTGATTATTTCGTATTAATCGTTGTTAGGTTCTAAGGGCACATATACGGCTATGAGTGGTTTACGTGTAGTATACATGGCTGAGTGGGAACCTAATTCTGATAACTGTAATCTGCCATCCAGTTTACTCAATGAGGCTCTTGCAGCAGAGGACAGCGGCTTTTTGGGCGTTGATCTCTTGCTCACTTGTCAGTGGCCGAAACACGTTAATAAACTAACTCTATATGAACTCCCTGACGGTTGTCAGCAATGTATTGACTCTTCCTCGATTTTAATTTCCCGATTGGCTTATCTCACTCGACCAAGGTACCATTTTTCATGTGGTAACGGAGTGTATTACGAGAGGTCACCATACAGGTAATACATGATTTTCGAGCTTATTGTGTATCTTACTCGATAATACAACCGTTGAGACTATAATTTATGGACGTACCAATGAGGTATAAGATAACAGGTCTCGGGTTTTAGCGCAAAATTCACTCAATAATTTGGCTAAGTAAAGTTTTGGCGTTATAGATGATGCCAGTTCGTAATGAGAACCTTGAATCTAATGCATAGCCTTAATTGTCAACTATAAATCATAATTCTGATTCCTCACACAGGTTTATAACTCTAATTTGGTCCTAGTTGGATTTAGGTGGACACTCTTAAGTTCACTTTAGCGTCACTCAAAGCTCGTCCATAAATTATAGTCCTACCGCATTACTTTTCCTCATAACAAGTGAAAATCTCAAGTGTCTAGACAAAATGTCAATAAACTATCGTTTCTTAGATTGTTTGGGGATATTGTCCAAACGCTGTGTTGGACAATAAATGGAACACAGTATGGCTGGTTTAATTATATGTAGGCGAACCCTAACCGTTGCTGATACCTTGACGTGGTGGTTGGACTTACCTGTCGTGATATATCGTTCGGGCTGTACTGACTGGAATAGTCGTTCCTCAAGGTCGGTTAAAGAGCTGTAGGACTAGAATAACTAAACCCAAGGTCCGAGGGCGAAATCGTACTGCTGACTGTACAGTGGTGTGATAGCAGTAAGGTGTTTACTTAGCATGACAGCAATACTGTCTTCCCACCAAGTAAGGGTGGGGTTAGAAAAGATTGACTCTAAAAATGCACACCTCACCGTATCCCACGGATATCCGTCTCTGGCGATGAGATCTTAACAATTATGGAGCCAGCACTAAAAGATCGTGTGTGACTGACCTCAAGCAGTTGTCCCTTGGGCACTGCGGTCGCTCTCTAAGGTCACTGAAACCAACTCTCACTCAATTTCCTTTTCAGATACCGCTAAAAGAACCCTTCTACAACGTAAGCAACTATAAAGTGAAAACCGCCCTCATACCTTCAAACACACTCAAGACCACTGTATTCATAATCAACTTCCCTCTTCAGCTTCTACTATTCCTCCTACTTCTAATATCAACTCTAAACTTCATCCGCAAGTGCCACTGTAGCCAACAATTCTAGCTGTAGACAAACTAGATATAGTCCTTAGTTGTTGTTGGGTTCTTACTGTTTTCAAATACACATTTATTTGATTCAACTGTAACTTAGACTCTAGCAAATCTGCTTGTGAAGTCATTGTTAGTTGAATATAACTTCATAAAAGGTTGGCAAAACATCTGTTATCTTGCAGTATGTACAATAAGTAGCTACATTTGTAGTTACTCATAAGGCAAAGCTGAACTATAAGGCTGAATTGTAGTAACTTTAGATGGGCTGAACATATTAAACTTGTTCATCTTGTCAGAATACAACAAATATAAATAAATGATTTGTAACTCTAGGACTAGAATTTAGGATTAGGATGCTGAGTGTAAGATTTACGGTGAGAATAAGGGTGTAAAGTGTAGGATTAACGGTTGGAGTTAAGATTTAGATTACTGACAAACCAACTGTATAACTTAATCCCTATTCCGAACCATAACCTTAAATCCCGAACCAAAGTATTAACTATGAAGTTGAATTTTAAAGTATATAGTGTTGCTTTCGTCATTAAAATCGGTCCAAATATTTTTTCTGAGTTAAAACAATATAATCAGTGACCGACAATTCATCTGTATGAACCTCTATTCTATTCTCGGTAGACGAGATGCTGTATAGACACATACACCGTCTTGATGCGATTTGTACTTTGGTGATTGGCTCATCATAGTGTAGCTTTACTAACCATTCTGTGGCGTGTATATGAAACAATAGAGTTCTTCGCTTGTTTGGCTTCTTTCTTTTGGGACACCTTATTGCGACGGTTCCTCTGTATCCGCTCTGTTTTATGAGGTTTCATAACCCGCTTATTTCACTAGTTTCTTGAAGTGGTTTGATTAGTTCTTATACAATCGTTACGGCCTTGTTGTATTTTCTTCATGACAGTTCGTTCGCTTCCAGCTTTAAAATTCTATTTTTATGGAGTTTGATACTCCTAACTTTTTTGTTCCTATGATTCGACTGTAGAAATCACCGTGTTTTACAAGAAAAAGCTTGTCATACTACACGTTTTATATCATTGGCAGATGTGAAAAATGAACGTAACCAGAAGGTATCGTTATATAAATTTTACTAATTTGTTTAGTATTTATATGCTCTCAAGTTAATCCCGATTGATAAAATGGATCATCAGGATTTAATAAATCAACCTCCAGACGTAACAGAAAATCCATATCGCGAATTTGTTGACCATAAACATTCTTTAGATAGAGAAACAGTAAGTTAAACTAGTTAATAGATATATGGTAGTTAACGTGTATGGGAAACATGCATATTCCTATTTTTACCTATTTTTTTCGTATGACTTTAAAATAGTCAACTACAAGACCCGAAAATAGATATCTTACTTGTTCACATTCTTTACTATGTACTGCTTACGATTGTACATAGTTCTGAAATCCTTTGCTCTTCGTTACCAAAATCCACATCAAAAAGACACTATTATGTTTGGGGCAAAAGCCAACGTTGTATACTACATAGAAATTAATATTGGCTTAGGATTTGTATCTGTGTATATGTATGATTATAATATACTTCCATTTATTTAGTACAGCTTTTGCTATATTTATTTATTTATTTCAACACATACGTATTGGTACAAAGAGGCACCGAATACATATGCGCCACACAAATCCCATTAGATTTGTGTGAGGACTGTGATACTGCTCGGGTGCCCAAACCGAACCAGGTGGTTATATTAGGGGGCCACTTCCCGAGCCTTCGACCTGAAGGTCTGATCCACAAGGCAGTGGAGCATCGTGAGGAGATGCAGTCTCATGGAAGCCGGCGACCAACAATTGGTTCATACGCCATTTGTTCCCGCAGGATACTGGAGCCCATGTGCACCATTGGTTTGGAATCCGGTTAAAGCGCCGGACATTCGCTTTACGTCCTCTCATTTTCGTAAACAACACCTGTGGTGCGAGAAAGCAGTGAGTAGGACTTCCCTGGCAGAGGCTATATACGCGTGGCCATGTGAGAGCATTTGAAGAAGGAGAGCGGACTCTCCCCACTCTCGGTCATACCAGGGCATTCGAGGGCTATATGATGATAATTGGTTATACAAGATAAGTGAAAAATATTTCTCCATTCAGTTTAATTTGGCGAACCACTTCATTCCTGAAAGTTGAATTATAGAATGATGCAAACTCGTACTACAGCGACGTATTTATTCATAGTAAGATATATGAAGCAAATAGATTCGTAGGTCGTCTCTCAAGGTCCACATACGACCGGATTTTGTCAAAATCTACTCCAAACAGAACGGCCAAAAAAGTTCCAACTGTAATTGCCGTTAATAATTGTGGCATTTTCTACGTAAATTATACTAGCTATTATTAATCCATTAAATTGTCATTGTGTGACTTAATCTTTCCAAATTGACTCTTACCGTGGGTCATTATACATCAAAGTTGATTATTCCAGTTATATATATATATATATATATATATATATATATATATATATATATATATATATATATATATCGTGGTAAGTGTCGTGAGGTGTTCAGCTGCGGGTTACTAGGTAGAATTATGCTTCATAAGTATACATACATGCATCCAAATTATTAGCTCTATGTTTTCATATCGATTATTAGGAGGTACAAACTGAGCAATACTTTTATAACATGAATACCAACGAAAAATCAGGAAATCTTACGAAAAAAGGCACTCTTCAAAAGCGCAAAATAAACACTAATACATTGGAAGACACAGATGACAACAAAAGACAACTTGTTGATAAAAATGATACCAGTGAGGAAAGTTTTCAAGAGAAAATCGACAGTAAGTGAGATTTGTTTTCTAGACACTTATGTATACGTTCTTGACGTAATACTGACAGAACTTAGTGTCCTTAATCACGGTCACATTTTTTGTTGTAATCATTGGAGAATAGCAATTGCTTCACCTGTCTGCAAGATTCTCAGTGTGAAGGAATTAGGTAGACTGCTGTTAACACGATACATTATTGCGAAAGATTGCTCCATGTTGGCTGTATGTCCCGTCTGAATTAAATGGGTTGAAATAAGGCTATTAACCGTTTTGACTATACGTTTGCTTAATCACACTGGGAGGTGCTCACGAGCCCGAATGTACACATTTCTAGAACATCTACCAATATAACTTGCTCCACAGGAGTAGCTGGATACAGAAAGAGGTGGCTCAGTCAGTCAGTCAGTAACAACGTGGAACTCCGTACGTATGTACATCAGTTCGAGTTGCCATACCACATTAGCACAGAGATGCAGTTATCGATTTGATTCCTAACAACTGAGTTACCTACTCGGTGGTCACAGGATTTATGAGCAATGTTTCGAAGACATCTACGATCGAATACTAGTAACTTACGAATATCCTCTACTATGACTGGCCATGTTTCACAGCCATAAAGCAGGACGGGACGAACTGCTGCACAGTAAACCCGTCCTTTGGTTGGTAGACGGATATCTCTCCTACGCCATAAATGATGCAGGTTGGTAAAAGCTAGTCGAGCCTTCTGTATCCGTGCTGAGATTTCGTCACACACCAGAACAAAACGAAGAAGGTTTGTATATTGGCGCGTCCAAGTAGTTTTCTTGTTTATGTTTCTTCTTAGTGACCCGTCTTTTATCCTTGAAAGTAGAGCATCTAGAAAGGCTATCCTACTCCCATTTTCCTTCTCACGTGTGAATTTTATTATTTTTTATTATTTTTCAGAATATCATTGTTGATGTTTTATTTTTTGTTACAGAAAACAGAAATCATGCAGCTTGTTGGTTTTGTTTAGGTAATCCACAAGTGAAAAAACATTTAATTGTTAGTATTGGTACTCAAGCTTATGTAGCATTACCACGTGGTCCTATTGTACCTGACCATGCATTAATTTTGACTATTGGTCATCATCAAAGCTGGATTTCTTGTCCAGAATATGTTCGTTCGGAAATTGAAGAATATAAATCCCGGTTAAAACGTATGTATGCTGCACAAGATAAAGCGATGGTAACATTTGAACGAAATTTGAAAACCCAACATTATCAACTTCAAGTGAGTATGAAAAAATGGGGTCTGTGTATCTATTTACTGGCTTTTGTTTCTTAAACCTGATTTTCACCTGAACAATTAGTTGTCAGGTTTTAAATGTAAGTTTTTGGACGGCAACTCAGACACAACGCTTCTATTTGGGAGAGCTTGAGGTCCTGGTCTCGATCGTCGGTGGGTTCGTGTTAACTATTATTTTGAGGTCGTGTACAAAGAGGAAACGGTTATTTAGTTCTCTCTATTTTCCAATAATTATCCAACTGAAATCAGTTTGTGATTTAAATCGTTTTAAAGAAGTTGATTTTTAATCAGTTTACGTTTTTATCTGAGCTGTAGTTTCGATCTCAGTAAATCAGTTTAAATCTTTGTACCCTTAATAATAAGAACACTCTAGTTATAGTTCTAACCTCAGTTATTTCGCATCATTGATGTTTAACATTTTCTGTGCACATGTTTTACTTTGATGTTTTTAACAATTGTATACGTCTTTGTTTATGGTTTTATTTATTCACTGAAGGTTGTTCCTGTACCATTTTCAGTTGCAGCGGAGGTGAAACAGGTATTTCTCGAGCTATCTGCCAATACTGATTTTAGTCCATGCGAACTGAAACCAGTTCCTCGACGGACAGAATTAGATGAAGTATGTTTTGTAAATTTTCGTGGTTTAACTTTAAAATTATTTTCAAAAAAATGTATACAGTATAAATTGAAGGTTAGCTTTAAAACTAGGAATTAGTTCTTTTTGAAACCACTCCTCGATCATAACTTACAAGGTTCATAAATGGTAAATAGAAATTCAGAAAGGTTCAAAAGATAATCGCTAGAGTAAAAAACGTTAATATCTTTGCCCCCAAATGCCTTGGTACGGCCGAGAGTGGGGAGAGTCCGCTCTCCCTCTCCAAATGCTCTCACATGGCCACGCGTATATAGCCTCTGCCAGGGAAGTCCTACTCACTGCCTTCTCGCACCACGGGTGTTGTTTACGAAAATGAGAGGACGAAAAGCGAATGTCCGGCGCTTTAACCGGATTCCAAACCAATGGTGCACATGGGCTCCAGTATCCTGCGGGAACAAATGGCGTATGAACCAATTGTTGGTCGCCGGCTTCCATGAGACTGCATCTCCTCACGATGCTCCACTGCCTTGTGGATCAGACCTTCAGGTCGAAGGCTCGGGAAGTGGCCCCCTAATATAACCACCTGGTTCGGTTTGGGCACCCGAGCAGTATCACAGTCCTCACACAAATCTAATGGGATTTGTGTGGCGCATATGTATTCGGTGCCTCTTTGTACCAATACGTATGTGTTGAAATAAATAAATAAATCACTCATCAGCATGATAGTACTAGAAATTTTGATTTGTTGGGATTTTTATTCGCATATTGAACAATAGGAATGACTTACTTCTATTCTCAAACTCCAGGTTATTCTCAGTTTGAACTAATTTTTTAGTTGTTGTTACTATCGTTCACATAATCACATTCTTTTATTTTCTCCTAGTTCATCTTTTTCGTTATTTATTGCTAGTCCCTTTTCGTTTTCGGATTCTACAATTTGTCCGAAAATTTCATTAGATTTCATTTCTTTTATATATTCAGTAACTACCATTATATATGTTTGTATAATGCAAACTCTCCCATTTATAACTGTTTAATATAGATTTGTAGGGTTGGAATTCCCTACTTTTTTGTTGAACTCCCTACTGGTGAGAAACTTTTTGGACGAATTCCAAAAGATCGTATTTCCAGTGCGAACTTACAATTTGGTCGGTATGTTCATTGTATTACTGCTAATTAATTTGAATCAAAAAAACTTTTGTCATAAGTTTACTGGGTGTACACAGCATATGACCTAATACGAACGGGTTACCGGTCGAAGTTATCATATCTCATCTAAGTGCAAGAGGAGTCAGAACAATAGTACTGATGTCAGTTACAGTAATATGATATATAGGATGACACTAAGGGCAATATTTAGGGGAGTGAATTGAACTAATATCGCTTTTGAGCTTTATCACCCAAAGCTTAGACTAGCCATAAGTGGTTTCACGGACTGATGTTGCGTATTAGTTTGATCTCCACTAGTCTTCTAATACATTTTTATGCCAGTCAGCATCACATGCTTTAGTGAACTGTTACTATGTACGTGTATTACACCCCATAACCGCTCCTGTTTCAGAGGTTTTTCAGCCTCACCAATTAATTCCCCACTTTTATTTAAGTCTTGCGTTTAACCTCGACATCATTTTTACCATTTCCGAGCGATGCTTTGTCAACCCGTATGGTCAGCTACTCAGGACATGTACCTGTTCTCAACTCTCAGGGACTACATTTCACAAAATTATGGTAGTACAGTTGGAACAGTTTCCTAGTAGACTCGCTGTGATGTTCAGGTAAACACCTCACCTACCCTGCAGACAATGCATATCGTGGGAGCTTTTTGACTGCAACCACAAATTCTGGGCTATCAGGACTTCCAAAATGAATGGTGTGGTCAATGCTTTAAACTGCTTAGACTAGACATCGACTAAAACCGCTAGTAGAGTAAATTTCGTATTTGGAAAGAGACAAAGTCACTTCTCTCATTCCTCAATATTTACCCATGGCATTCAGAATATCTCATTATATCAAGAATTTCACCAGACAAAACTGTTTTATCTGCTTACTTTAGGTTAATAGGTAAAAATTCACATAGGTTAGCTTCCTGAAAGTCAAAGATAAGATGTTATCATAAGAAGACATTTGTTTAACAAATCTAAGCAGAAACGAATGTGGATTTCCTCGAGAAACATCGCTTGACTCAGCTAATCATCATGACAGTTTTCCATAAGTTCCGTCTTGATCAATGATGTTAAAATGCACGAGCCTTAGAGGGTTGACTTCTTTCTTTGGGAGGCCTGTCGTCGGCAGATACTTCCATAAGATCTGTCGTTAGGTTGAATCGATTACCACTCTCATGTCGAGTTTTTGTATAAACTTTTGTCCCGAAACCTGTTAAAGGGTGAATCTTTCATCTACAAGATTTCATTAGTATTAGGAGATTATTGTAGGTTTCGTGGTGGTTATCGTCTACTTTGAATGGGACTCGTTCAGTGATCGTGATCCACAGTTTAAATACCACATATAAATTTACATGATTACCGGATTTCAAGTATGTCAGTATATATAGTAAGTCTTCATCGGGACATGTTTTATGTATACCCAACCTCCTTCGGCTTGGGCACCCGGGCAGTATCACAGTCCTCACACATATCAAATGACGTCTGTGTGGTGTATATGTATTTGGTGCCTCCTAGTACCAATATCTGTGTTAAAATAAATAGATAAATAAATAATCCAACCACTGCCTACCTCGACAGCCAATGTTGTCTGGTGTAGGAGTAGGCTGGAAGAAAACTAGAGGTGACCAAACCAAAACATGGCATAATTCTACGAAATCATTGACTATTGAACTGAGCCATAGGTGTAGACTACCTGTTTGGGGTCTACATGATAATAACCAATATCTGGAGATTCTGAATGACATGGCTCAGAATCGTTTGCGACGGCTCAGGTATATCCATTCTTTGTCTCCCCTTCAAATTCCAAGCTTCTGAATTCATCATTGTTTTTGCTTCGCCAATCCGTATTTCCTTCTCGAGTCGTTTCTTCGATGTTTAATCTTTTGTACTACCACTGCTACTGTGACTACTTCTAGTGCTTTCGAATTTTGCCCGGGAATTTCATCTCTGTGCTAATGATGTATAGCAACTTGCAGAACCGATATACATACGTAACACGTTCCATGTTGTGACTGACTGATTAATATAGTACTGCAGACTTTTGCTTGAGTTCAGTGAGTTATGATTCTGTAACCTGTTCCACCTAACGGTGTATAAGAGTAATTAAGTGTACATAAAATGTCAGGAGAGCGGACGCGTAATTTTCATAATTTTCGATTTTCAACTGGTGTTGTGTTGGAAGTTCATGTCCTATTCACTTTTGTTTGAACAGTCGGGTTGTATCACTGATTTTAATGTAAAGAGAAAACGGCTCAAAACTACCCACTGTAAATGAATAACGTTGCCATAACTATCACTACAAAACATCAAACAATATGCGCTGTCCATAATCCAGTTCATTGATCTCTGTACAATTAGTTGATCACCGAGTTATGACTAATGACTTGTTTGTCTAATCTTTTTTAGTTCTAATTGAATTCTATCAATCAAGTTACTACGTAACCACTAGTCTAAGTAGCTCAACATTACATGCACTATTTTGAGATGTTAGGTAGTTGGAATAGTCAGTAGGAAACTCTGTATCTAGGTTCCATCTTGTTTGACACTCATCAGCAAGGTGCTTGTGTAAACGTCAGTCGTAGCCTGAACAACTTAGCAGTAACGTTTCAGACAGTGTAAATATGAGTGGCACGGGTTCGAAGCGCACAAAATGAACAAAAGTTCCTTCAAGTTTGCAGGTGCACTTTGCTAACGAGTACCAGCTATCATAAAATTTAGGTCTAGGGTTCCCTGTTGACTAACTCATTACTTAACACATTAATTTGTAGATTTTTAATCAACTGAATTCTTTATTCATCTAATACATTTTTTACTATATTTACAACTAATATGTTATTGTCCCTTTCTTACATTCTTTCTACTATTTCTACTATTTACAGTATTGTTCTAACAGATCCACGTATTTTAAATTGTCCAGAAAAAGCCGACTGGCATGATTGTATAGATGAGGAAGATGAAGAAACTGATTTAGCTAAACATTTCCGAAAAATGTTTTCACCATTTGATGTCAATGATGATGATAATGATATTGAATAAACAGAACCAATTTTTAAAGAAAATTTTTTTTTCCAACAGCATTTTGTTTTATTTTTTTTAAAAAAAGAACGAATTATTCATTCTCTAAACTACCATCTTCATATGTCTTTAACAAATTCTATTTTCTTGTAGTAAATGACGAAATAAGAATGTAAATTGTACAGATTCAATTTTCTTTTTCTAGACAATACTACTATTGAATTATTTTTTCCTGGTTAGTGTTTTTCTAACGAGTTAGTTTTCTACAGGATGGGGTCGCTAACCCTATGCCCAAATGTTATAACTTGTGGCATGAGTGCCCCGTTAATGTATACGTAATGATACCGTCAATTAGAGAACAGTGAACTATCAATCGGACCAATGACACATAAAACATGTGCGAGCAGTCTAGAGTATTTATCGGTCCTGTATCCTGCCTAGCCCAACCTGTCCACAACACCAATCTCAACCTCTGCGATATGAATCATTTATTCCAAACATACGGGGTTTATATACCAACCAGACAGACCACAACGTACCAATAAAATATGAAACAACATTTGTACAAGAATTAGCCAGATGTGGCTGTGAATGAGGGAGGTAGCGATTAACAGACAGGGAATAATTCATGAATGGTAAATCGTATAATAATAGTTCATAGGTCAAAATAAAGCTCATAATAAGAGGGATATGAATATGAATAGTTTAGTTATTTAACAATTATACGATAAAAATGTGCGTATAGTATTGACCGATAAATGGATCCGAAAAGTTACCATTCATTATGCTTATCGGGACATAACACCAACCCTCTTCCTTTTCCCGGGTTTGGGACCGGCAGCAACTCTAGAAGAGCTACAGGCGGAGAATAATACTATAGTTTTCTTAAATTAACAAAATGAACATATTCTCCTATACAAATGTTATATAGCTAATGATATCTGAGTGTTGAGAAGAAGGAAATCTTGTGTATTTTTTAAATACGTGAATATGAGAATCCAAATGAAAATAAGCTGGTCAAGTGGCCCCAATTATTATATAGTAGGAAGATTAAATTGAATAAGTAAAACTGAATATTGTTCTCATGAAAACTGATTATACATAATGGTTAAGTTGGAATAGTATGATATTTAAGTGTCAAATGAATATGTACATATTTGTGTTCATACTTTGCAATATGTACTAATAGGATACTGATGACTAGTTCAAGAAAGCCCAGAAGTTTGATTTGGGACAAAATAATACTACTAAGTAGTAGTATGATAGTGTGTAACTGTAAAAATATTATTTTATAATGGTTAATATCTGGCTTAGGTATAGTTTATGATCTATATTGTAAAAGTATCGAGATTTCATTGATTAGGATTGTAACAGAGGACCTGTATTGCAATTTTTCAGGTCGTAAATGGTTGATGAGAATCTGTTAGTATCAAATAAATTCATGTAATTTTAATAACCTTTACATACCTCATAAGTTCGATTCTCTTGCACTCAAAATATTTCCGTTCATGAATCTATTACTTATTTTAGTCGGTTAGTATTGTTGAATATCTGAAGAGGCATTCATTTCACTAAGGTTGACAAGAAGCATAAAATCATAAGCTTATTATGTATTCCGTTAGTTTAATAACAGATGGGCTTTTTTAATAGTATCACATTAATACTTACGGCGGACTCACTTGTTTATGGGTTATGTGCTCGCCTTGAAGCATAAACATCTGGAGTGCGTTACTTGATGCGCCGTAGCTTTCAACGATTACCTATCTTAAGTTAGTTCGTGATGTAAATCATCTTCAGTTTAAATAATCTCCAAAAACTTTTCAACATAAGTTCACAGATCATTATATTGAATAGTCGATAGGAGACCATAGACCTAAATTTCATGCTAACTATCAAGATGTATCTGTAATCTTGATGGGACTAATACTCCTTGTAGGGCTCAAATCCATATCACTCAGCTTAACAATCTGACACGTTACCATTAAACTGTTCGGATCATAACTGACTTCATAATTAATACATCTAAATATATACACATAAAATGTATATTATACATCCTAATAAATTAATCATATATAGAATTGGTTATTATCAGTTACAATGATTATCTTCTTTTAATTTGACCACATATGGTTGGTACACAAAGATATTTCTTACTTTCATAAATTATTCCTTAATCTGGTTGATTTTATAAGAAAAAAAAGGTCTTATATAATTTACACCATAGTATTCAGTGTTTTGTTCCTACTGACGTCAATTTAGAATTTGTATACAGAGGTTTATTTTCCATTGTAATAAGGGATTACAACCAATTCAAACTAAAATAGTGTAATTAATATATAGATATATATTTTATTACTTCGGAAGTGAATATATCTATAATAAAAACAAAAACAAAATCAAGATTATCAGTTTTATTATTTATACAAGGTGGGCAAATAATTGTGAATTATCTATTTTCTTAACAAGATTTTACATTTACCTACCAAATGTGTTTTCATTCATCTAGTAATCATATGAATACCCTTAAATTTTACAAGATTAAATAAATCTGAATTATGTCTTGTACAAAATTATTAGCTTAAAAGTCTTATTCTATAAAAGTTATGACTTTATAAATTAAACAGTGAAATTCTGTTGATAAATGTCTGAAAGTAATTTCCCTTTTTAAGTATCATCAAATAAAGAATCCACTGATATTTGATGATGATCATCGTATTAGGTCAAGTGATTGGACATAAAAAGTGGAGGCTATCGGTCAAAATCTAATGTTTGAATTGTAATATGCCGACCACAAGCTTATGAGTTAGATCATTTATGAAGTTGGGGATGTAGATTGTTGAGAAATATCAAACTTGAATAATACATTATTAGGTTTATACTCGTAAGGTACATCACAGAGATGTAAATTTGTTGTACTAATTTTTATCATAGCGATAGTCCCAATCATTGTTGAAGAGAATAATCGTTATAATACCGACTATTTGGAGCTATTATATCTTTTACAACGAGAAGGGTCTTTTCTGTCATGACAGAATATAAACTTACATACAACCGTTAAATGACAATATTCTTTATGATTTCTTTTCAACATAAACCTCCTAGATGAACAACATATCCTCTTCATATTATAACTAATCGGATCTCGCGTGATATTCTGAAGAATATGATATTGATTTAGTAAGAAAAGAGTGAAAATAGAGAGTATAATGACCAGGTAAGTAAATGACTTAGTGGGACCTTATGATAATTTTCTCCTACTCACAAGTAGTATAAAATGTTATTACTCATTTGACGCTATTGAGCTCATCTGTTTCTTATGTAGAATCTCTAGAAAAAACTCAATAGACTATATACATCCGTTACGCGTTTGTTCCCTATTCGACAGGTTCAGTGTAAGTACATTAGATTTAACTAAAGGTGAATAAGGAGTGTTCAAGCGTCAATATATCCATATTCGTTAGGAAGCTTTTACATTATAGCATTAGCGATAAAAATGATAATACAAACAATTGAATAGAGTTCATTTTTTCCATGAGATAAATGCTAGTATTCTATTGCAGTTGGTCAGTTCTAGGTGCTTCGTAGCGTTTTGAAAATGTTTTTTTTTCACTGAGAAAAATTGACTAACTTATTTATCAGTATAATGTAGTAGTGGATAACGTCTACAGTAAACTATCACTGTTACTGAATCTAGGAAATTTACTGGAGGCTATTACCAATCCCAGAAATAAATCCTAGCTCATTCGTAAATTGGACCAGATGATAATAAAGATGACTGTAATATGTTGAAAACCCAAACGTTGTTGCTACATTGACGTGGTGGTCGGGCTTCCCTATCGTGATGAACCAACCGAGCTATACTGACTGGAACAACCGTTCCTCAAGGTCCTACCATGTCAGACAGGTCGGTTGAAGAGCGGTAAGACTAAAAGCAACAAACCTAAGGTCCGAAGGCGAAGTCGTACTGCTGACTGTACAGAGGTGTGACAGCAATAAAGTGTTTTCTTCAGACAACCAGCATCTGCAGCAATGCTGCCATCCCATAAGGTGGGTTGGGGTTAGAGAAGGTCGACCCTAAACATTCACACCTCGCTTTATCCCACGGATAACCATCTCCGGCGGTAAGGTCTCAACAAGTACGGAGCTAGCACAAAAATGACCCATGAAAAGGTCGTGTGTGATCGACCTCAAGCAGTTGTCCCTTGGGCACTGCGGTCGCGCTCTCAGGCCACTAAGACCACCTCTAATCCAATTTCGTTTTCAGGTACCTCCGGAAGAACCCTTCCATGGTGTGGGCAACCGGGAAGTGATAACCGCCCTCATACCTCTGACAGCACTCAAGACCACTGTATTCATAATATGTTAAATAGATAACTGTGTTTCGTTTTGTTCTGTATTTTGGTCAAATATTCTATCTACAATGAATTGGTCCGTATGTGTTATTTCAGATGTAATATATTTAGCTAAATAACTAAATGGATTCACTTGAATTTTTCAATGACAATATCATCATATAGCAATTTAATTATTATCTATGTACGGCTTACATAAATAAAATCATTCAACTTTATTAAAATGTTTACTCAGAGATCAGGAAGATTATTAATGATAATCAAGTTTAGCTGTAGAAAACAAAGAAATATCGTTCATAGTTTGAGCGTTACTCAGTTGGATTCTGTCATAGTTACAAGTAGATCCATAAATATATAGGAATTTAGCAATTACTATTCAAAACTACAATCTATAACTAGTTTTTTGTTTCAATATTTTAAAATCCACATTTCATTTCACAAATCAATTTGAGATTCAGTATTTAGGTGTGTTTTTCAAAACAGTCATAGAGTGCAGCTTAACAAAATTTAATATCTAAAAGGAACATCATAACACGTAACATAATTGGTAATTGATCTATAATAAAAACTAATTAATAGCAAGCCCGGCAATGGTTGCATAGTGCGAAATTATGGTAATTGGCATTGAGTAATTTATGAAACAATTTGTCTGTGATCTCTGGCAATGAGACAGAGTGGAGAATGAGAGAGATTTGAATTCCTTAGATTTATTTGTCTATATTCAAATGTGTATCTATGTATGAGAGCTATCAGTTCAAATTGTACCTGGACTTAGGTTTTGAGTTCGATTCTGTTTAATGGAAACTAACTACTTATTATATACCTTAAGTTCTGTACCTATTAATATTTAGAACTTGACATGCTTTGATTCAATAAT